TATGTAAGGACAGAAGACTGCAGGTTAGCTTGTGTGTACTTGTGAAATAGTCCTATATGTGCTGCCTACTTGTGGCTAGTCATTTAGCCTGTGTGAAATCAGGACATCAGCTTGAAAACGTCATAGCAATTGGTTTATTCAAACACTTTCCACATTTGATTATGTTCAATACAGCGTTTGTTTCCTGTCTAAAATGTAAAACTGCTACATGAAAATGTTCTCATCCTTGCTGACCACTACTTCCTCCTGCACAACGCCTCCTCTTAGCACGCATATACTGAAGGTGAGAAAGTTTTCATGTCGCCACTGTGTTTGCATTGACAGAAGAACTATGTGAGCCACTAGACTTATCTATGAAGATCATTATATTTTTCCCTGTTTAAATATTTATTGTTGGCTTAAGACGTTTTCTCCACAGACTGATAACAACTGCCCATGTGATTGAGGACACAGACATCTCAGTTCATAATGGGCCCTTAAGTATGCAGGGCTGTAAAAAACAAAAAAACAAAGGATGAATGTAGCACATCTATTTAGACACTGTGACTTCACTCAGAGAACTGCTTTTGTGTTCTGCTCTGTTTAACAACTTAACAAATATAGAAATTTACATTTGTAAATTATCATTTACATTTGAGTCATTCAGCCTTTAGAGTGGTTTATATAGCATGTATAACATGTGGAGCAATGAAAGTCCATGTGTACAATGAAGTTTGTATGTGTTTGTGCAAATGAGAAATACGATTGCTAAAGGTTTTCATAGTTCTACAAGATTCTGTTTTATACTCAAGTCAACAGTTAAACTTCATTGAATCTCTCCATGAATTGAAGACACATAAAAACTAAAATTTCTTTGCAGAATTGAGCTCTTGCAAGTGATACAAATGAAAACCTCCCTTAACTATTTCCTTAAACTATTCAGTCTAACTGATTCATATTGTGAGTTTATGTATACATGCAATGTCTTTTTTATGTATGTATATATGTAAAGATAATGAACAATAATGAACAAATAATGGAACTGTAAATAATAACAGCTCCCCAAAACCAGGAATGGAGGGAAAAAAGGTGAGTCTTGAGAACTGCCTCCCTGAGATCTGAATCTGGGGACAGAAAGAAGCTTGGAAAACATGACTAATAACCACAGACTTTATTTTACTCTTTATAAATGAAAAACAGCTGTTCTACAAATCCATTTGAAATTTTCCACTATCACAATGTGGAAATTAGTAACTTTGTGTTAATTTTTTTCCTCAAAATTCAATGAATCATTGTCTGAAGTACAAATATATGAAATAGTGGATTGTTACAATAGGCCAATAGTACAAAGGTTGAGAAATGTTTATTATTTATTCATTATCCGTAAACCACGAGGATTGTAGACACACTAGTCAGCCAATATACATGTCTACATTTTTGGACAGAAATAGGTGATGAACAATAATGGCATGATGAATAGGAGTGGTTCTAATAATTTCAACAATGAAGGAACATTCAAGTCCCCCCCCCCCATGTTTATATAACCTTGTTTTATCTATTTAAAAAAAAAAAGTCAGCAATCTAACAAATTTTGAGTTAACCTGTTACTAAATGAAATACAAGGTGTAAGGTACTGGTTAAAAGCATTTGCTCTTCCTAATATTTAGTAGAAATATACTTCTAAAAAGTAAACATGAAGTATATACAGGTGCATCTCAATAAATTAGAATGTCGTGGAAAAGTTCATTTATTTCAGTAATTCAACTCAAATTGTGAAACTTGTGTATTAAATAAATTCAATGCACACAGACTGAAGTAGTTTAACAACCCTCTATGCACACCTTGGGAATATAATCACCATTTTTGTTTACTCGCCAGACTGATATACTATTTTACACACCCATACACACACACACACACACACACACACACACACACACACACACACACACACACATTTACTTAGCTATCTAAATGGGGACATTACATAGACTTTGATTGTTTTTATATACAGATAGTTATACACTTTTTAACCTAAACCCATCCCTACCCCTCACAGAAAACTTTGTGCATTTTTACAAATTTCAAAAGTAAAAAAAAAAAAAACTTTGTTTATTTTATATTTATAACAGTTTTACAAATGAGGACATCCACAAATTGAGGTTTTTGCCGATTTTGTCAGGTTTTGCTCACTTTTGGGAACAAATTTGTCACCAAAATATGTATAAATAGGCACACACACACACACACACACACACACACACACACATGAGTCCACCCAATCAGCTTATCTTTGTAAAATGGAACAGCTTCTTAAATAACTGAATGTGCACTCTTAACTTCAGCCAATCAACCATTATATTATGATATTATGATAATTAAGCACTATTTAATGATAGAACTAGTGATTAGAACTAAAACTTGGTAACCATGAATGAATGCATATTTGTCATTTTAACTGAATTTAGGACTGGTGGTGGTGTTTAAGATATTGTTGGTCATAGTAATTATTATTAAAAGATACTACTACTACTACTATTATCTGCTGGGTTCATGAATATTAATCATGTTGTCAGCCTTCGCTCGAACTGATTTGCTGAAATCAAAACAGGGACGGTAATAGATGAGCGCCAGCCAACGAGAGCTGTTCGCGCATTAGCTCCGCCCACTGCCGAGAAACCGCCATATCTTCAGCTTGTTCTTAAAAACTGAATAATTCTAAATGAACTGTTATTTTGACAGGAAAATACAACAAAGCATATGGTTTACATGTAGCGCGTGGACATGATCCATTGAGCGCACCAAATAGTACAAATCGCTTGACGGAGAGCGAAACTCTCAAGCGCTCAGTCAGCGTGTTTATCGAGTGAAACGCCTCTCACACACATACTGGCGTGTAAAATCTAATAATTTATTAGCCAATGGCTAATGTTAGACATTATTTAGTCGCCCAGGGTAAAATTTAGTCGCATATGCGAGTGATTTACTCGCAATGCAGAGAAATAAATGAACTTTTCCACGACATTCTAATTTATTGAGATGCACCTGTATATGTGAAAGCAAAGTTGTTTGTTTTTATATTTTGATTTATTTTGAACTACAGAATGTTTATATTCCAAGGAACTAGATTAAACAACTGCAAAAAAAACTAAACAATTACAAAAAAACTAAAACAAGCAAGAAAACAAGATTTATAGGAGATGCACAACAGTTCTTCTGTGGCTTTATAGGTAATATTTTCACGTACACAATTTAGCAAAATCAGACAATATTGTGTCTAATATATACCACAATATTAACTTTTTATTAATGAATTGTTGTAAATAAATATCACATTTGCAGCTGGTCAGTGTTCAAAAATATGCTGGGAAATCTCTTCATGTAGCCCTACAAGAGTGAATACTGATAAACTGTCTGAGAAAAAAAAAGAAAGTCACATTTTAGAGAAGAAAAAAATCACCCACTGACTTTCAAAGCTGCTACATAGTAACGACTTTCTACTTTGAGGATCTTGATAGAAATGTAGTGGAGTGAAAAGTACAATATTTGTCTTTCAAATGTAGTGAAGTTAAAGTCATAAGTTCCCAGAAAAAATAATACTCAAGTAAAGTACCGATACTCAAAAAGTGTACTTAAGTACAATACTTAAGTAAATGTACTTAGTTACTGTCCGCCTCTGTTGCCAGATTAATGTGCAAAAAAATCTGACTCGATGCGTAACTAACATTACAGAACAGACTGGGCTGATATAGTCTACTCATAACTCAGGCTCGCTACGTGCCCCTCCAGACTCTTCTTGTGCTCCTCGATCATCCACAGGATACTTTTTTTTTTTGTGATTGCACACAATCGAAAAAAATCTAAACATTAAATTAGTTGCATATTTCAATGACCAGAGATATAGTGCGGTTGTATTTTCTTGCGCGCCCCTACAACTTCCCCCTCACTGACATAATTTCATGTGACTTTCTTTTTTTTCAGACAGAAGGACTGTTGTGCATCTCCTAATAAAACACAAGAGCGATTAGACAGCATTTTTTAAATTTTTGTTTTGATGTCAAATAAGCTTTGCTGTTTTGCTTTTTTTGTTAAAGCAGTGTTGCTGTTGTAAAGTTATACAGCTACATTTGTGTTGCTGGGTTTTAAAGCAGGTTTGATTTTGTTTCTTTCTTATCACTCTGTATTTACAGGATTTCACGGTTCAAATGTGGATGAATGGCTACACATAGATGTGTGCACACACTGTCAGAACTGTGTGAGATCACTACCATCCTGCTTTTTTGGGGGTGGGTAGGGGTGTTAAATATTTATTTATGTATATATATATATATAGTTGTTTTTTTCTGTCTAGATATATGAGGTATCCTAATTTTAAAAGTGTTTAAAAGCATCGTAAGCCTAAGTTGACCGTAGCTCTATTGATTTCAATGGGTCTACGATGTATTTAAAAGGGTCATCGGATGCCCATTTTCCACAAGTTGATATGATTCTTTAGGGTCTTAATGAAAAGTCTGTAACATAGTTTGGTTAAAATTTCTCAATGGTAGTGTAAAACAACACTGTTTTTCAAGCTGTTTGCTTGCATGCTGCTAATGCAAATGAGCTTTCACTCAAGTAATGGAGTTGAGTACTTTGTCCGCCTCTGTCTGGCAATACCCAGTTTTTCTGATGCACACCCAGGGTCTCGTTTCTGGCTACACTACCGTGTAGCAATCTTAACGAAAATCATCAACAAAGAGGATTAAATATTACATGCATAAATATCTAATAAATTATAAGGAATAAACTCATAGATAGCCTACATATATACATATAAATACATGTGATCAAACATTCAGGGTGTCACATTACTTTAATGTTCTCTATTGGCTACCTCATTGGTTACTTCATTACTGTTTTTGGCTTCACACTATTTTGCTTTTTTTTCCCTTTCAAATATAATTTTTCACTCAGTACGTTTTACGCCTAACTACAGTTTCATTTCATCCTCCATGCCGACTGGTGGCGCTGCTAAAAGCACCTCAACCAAAGGCCACCATAATCCTCTCAAGACAAAGATGTATGATTCGTTTCTTTTGTTGTTATAGTGAAAATACAAATCGTACGGTTCTTATTTTATATCCCCACTTTTAAAATAAGAAATCAAACAGTTGTCTTCTGTCATTATTGACCAGCCACAAAAATGAGTGGCGGAGTGTATGGCGGAGGTAAGTGCGATTTTGGAGGGAGAATCAAACGAATGAGTGCGCCACGTTTATGAGCTGACTAGCCATCAAACTAGCATGACATGATTATTTCTACTTTTATTTATTGAAAATGAGCTCAAAGTCCACGTTTAAGATGCTTTGTAGAATGCAGCGTACAGCAGAATATTGAGCGCGCAGTAAATGAAAATAAAAACGAAGATTGTTGGACGATTTACTTATTGTAACGGACTCATATTTATTTATTACAATACTTCATATATACTGTGTGTGTGTGTTTTAGTTGGATCCTCATCTATTTCTTTTTGGACGTTTATTTTTACTTCACAGATGAGGTTGGAGCTCTCGTCTTTGACATGGGCTCATATTCAGTGAGAGCTGGATATGCAGGAGAGGATTGTCCCAAGGTGTGAGCAGTTATATGAATCCATATCTTGGTGATAAAGCTGAAAAAAAAAATGTTTTAAGCATAAAGTTGTTCTGTGGATTCTAGGCCGACTTTCCTACTGTGATCGGTGTAACTCTGGACCGGGAGGATGGCAGTACACTGATGGAGACAGATGGAGAGAAGGGAAAGCAGAGCGCCACCACCTACTACATCGACACTAACCAGCTCAGGGTCCCTAGAGAAAGCATGGAGGTCATGTCACCTCTCAAAAATGGAATGAGTAAGTTATTTTATATGAGTCGAAAGCTGTTTTGAAGCATCTAAACAATAAAAGTTTAATACAGCTTTAAATGTTAATTTTTTCATACATGAGAACTAACTGTCATTCAGTCTGACAGGAGTTCATATCATGAAACCAGAATTATTAAATGTCCAGTAGTACTAGAATTATTAGATGTCGGTAAAAGATTCTTATTTGTGCATCCCATATGAAAACCAAGTTTTAGACACATTTTTCTTTTTTCTCTGAAGTTGAGGACTGGGACAGTTTCCAAGCCATTTTAGATCACACCTACAAAATGCACTTCAAATCAGAGCCCAGTCTGCATCCAGTCCTGATGTCAGAGGCCTCGGTATGTTGATTTTCGGACATAAATCCAGTCTGCAGATTTGATCATACACTTGCCATCTGCTGGGATGCTTCAGCCGACTCCATGTGATCTTGTTTTCTTCATCTTGCAGTGGAACACACGAGCAAAGAGAGAGAAGCTGACTGAACTAATGTTTGAGCATTACAACATTCCTGCTTTCTTCTTGTGTAAATCAGCCGTCCTGTCTGCGTATCCTTTATTTTAATTTGCTGGCTAAAGATTTGACAATCCAAATCTCTGTGAAAGGCACTGTCTTGCAGATCATTGGTTTTGTAACCATGGGGGCTTAAAGGTGACTTGAAACTATTTAAAAACAACTTAAAATCAAGATATTTCTTATTACATTATCCCCACAACACCCCTTTTTTTCTTTGAAGGACTGTCTAGATATGAGGTATCCTAATTTTAAAAGTGTTTAAAAGCATCGTAAGCCTAAGTTGATCGTAGCTCTATTGATTTCAATGGGTCTACGATGTATTTAAAGGGGTCATCGGATGCCCATTTTCCACAAGTTGATATGATTCTTTAGGGTCTTAATGAAAAGTCTGTAACATAGTTTGGTTAAAATTTCTCAATGGTAGTGTAAAACAACACTGTTTTTCAAGCTGTTTGCTTGCATGCTGCTAATGCAAATGAGCCCCTCTCTTCCGAGCCGCTCTCTGAGAGACAGTAAACTTTAGCCGCATTCATCGTGAAACTTGCTAACTAGCACGTTATTAGGAAAGGCGATTTGCAAAGATTCATTAAAAACACCTAACACTCACTTCTTCTGTAGGTGAAGCTGGATCACAAATTATTTGCACGAAGATAGACGCATTTAGGTAGATCGGGGGCTCATTCCCTTCAGAAACAAAGTAATCCACTGCGTGGATCTATCTTCAGCGGCTCAGATGTCGGAAGTAAATGACGACTGCTATGTTCATTATTACATCCAACAACAGAACACCTCAATCGCTTAGGAGTCATTCTTGTCTACATCTGCTCCAGCAATGTGAAACAATGGCAGACTGATGACAGTTCACTCAGAGCCAGTGTTGCCAACTTTTTTTAATTGGAAAGTAGCTAAAGCCAGTTTGAAAAGTCACTAAATGTGCTAGATGAGGTCATATGCTAATTAGCATATTCATGACGTCATCGTGCCAATTTTAATTTAGCCAAATTCGCAATATAACTGTTTTCATTTATATAATTTACTGTTTCTGTTGTCAGTCAACGGGATAAATATGAAAAAGTGACTGAAATGTGGCCCTTTAAGCCTACATAACTAGCTCTCCCTTCAAAGATGTTAATCTGCACAAAAATCCTGATTTATAATCAAGCCGTCGTCTGATGAAATCCAATACCCATAAGCAAAGACAATTCCTGTGCCGTGTTTTCGGCTATATTTGCGTGTAAAATTAGAGAAGCAACATCATATCTATTTTAACTGAAAGTGCTGCTCCTCTCTGCCGCTCGCTGAACAGATCAGAGAGAGGTGTGCGCGCTGTGAAAGCAAGATCTCGCGCTCGTGTGGCAGTACCAGCGAGCGAGTCAAAGAGACTAGCTATGGTTTGTCCAAGAAGTCGCTAGATTTGTCGCTAGTCGCTTTTTTGGAAAAAAGTTGCTAGGGGGGTCTGAAAAGTCACTAAATCTAGTGACAAAGTCGCTAAGTTGGCAACACTGCTCAGAGCGGGTCTAAGGTAAGACGCCAGTCCAGTCTGTGCTGAAACGCTACTGTCAATCAAACAATCGTGGGAGGGCCCTGTCAGTGTGAGGTCACACAGACAAGCATCTGAGATCGGCTCGATTTGAGAAAGGGGAAGTGATTTAACGAGATTTAAAAAAAACACTGGGTGGATCTTTATCATTATAGGGTGGTTGTGTACACACTGCCAACACACATTTCAGTTCAAGCAGCTTGTAAAAGTACATGTCGCATCCGATGACCCCTTTAAGCTTACGATGCTTTTGGGAAACGCAGCCCTGGAAAAGACATTTTTTTTTTTAAAATCCATGTGCTTTTTTATAATGAATATACATTTTTGTAGTTGTGCTAAGCTCTAAAATATTTACCAGGAATAAATTAAAAAGAGAGAAAAATATTATACATTTTTATAAACATTAACAACTTATTTAGAATGACTTTATAGAGTGTAGAAAATAAATGAAATGTTAAATCCTTAACTCAGCGTTTCAGGTTTGCCAATGGACGCTCCACAGGTTTAGTGTTAGATAGTGGATCAACACACACAACTGCTATTCCTGTGCACGATGGTTATGTCCTACAACAAGGTAATTCAAAACAGGTTTTTTTTAAATGTATATGCATCAAATAAAAAACTGAATGATTTTATATAATATAGTAGATATGGTAATGCTGAAGTTGAATTGTGTACAATTAATGCAACATATTATTTATATTAATGTACAATATGTATATGTACATAATTGTTTTTTATTTTATCTATGATTTCAAATGTATTATGTACATTGTTGATATTTCTATAATGTATGTTTTATGATCTTTCAGGCATCGTAAAGTCTCCCCTTGCTGGTGACTTCATGAGTATGCAATGTAGAGAGCTGTTTCAAGAGTTAGGTGTTGAAATAGTGCCTCCGTATGTGATTGCATCAAAGGTAAGGTCTACTCAAGTTCATTCTTTTCAGTCGTCATTAGGGCTGGGCGATTTTCCCAGAATGTTTGACTTGATTCTCGATTTTTTAAAATGTATTTACGATTTTTAACTAGTCAACTTGAAAATATAACTACAACATAATTCAAGTAACTTTTTCTTTATTAACCCTCTAGTTAAGGAAAATTATATTCCAAATGCAGCACACATTAAGTTGTCAACATGATGCAAATGTTAAACAAATCACTTGTTAAATATCTTTGCAGAAACGATGCATAAACTACATATTGTACAAACTTGTCTTATACATATTATGTGTTCAGAAATAATACGAGGAAAATGCTTTTAAAAAATCTCAAAAGTCAAGTTAATTCAAATTCAAAATGACTGAAGGTATAACACCAGTAGATTAACTATAAATGCTCTGTAAAAACAACAGCAGCTTTCAGCCTGTCACCATGATGCAAACATGAAATATCAGACATACAGTAGTAGTTCTTTACAGTTTTTTATTATTCGATTGCGCTGCTTTTCCATAGTTTTTTCTGTGTAAACATGGATGTGTTTGACTGTTGCGCTCGGGTCTCTTGCAGTGTCTCATGCATGAAAAGGCTTTCTCATGGAGCCAGAGGCCTGTTCTGCCTTTCTGAGGTGTTAGGTGCATTTCGGGGGAAGGGTCCATAGACCCTCGTAATTGGCCCTTTGGTTAGGTGAGGGGGCATTAGATATTATTTGTTAAATATAACAAAAAGTTGTGTGTCTGATTGGTCCAAATGCTACATATGCATCAAATAAAAAACTGAATGATTTTATATAATATAGTAGATATGGTAATGCTGAAGTTGAATTGTGTACAATTAATGCAACATATTATTTATATTAATGTACAATATGTATATGTACATAATTGTTTTTTATTTTATCTATGATTTCAAATATATTATGTACATTGTTGATATTTCTATAATGTATGTTTTATGATCTTTCAGGCATCGTAAAGTCTCCCCTTGCTGGTGACTTCATGAGTATGCAATGTAGAGAGCTGTTTCAAGAGTTAGGTGTTGAAATAGTGCCTCCGTATGTGATTGCATCAAAGGTAAGGTCTACTCAAGTTCATTCTTTTCAGTCGTCATTAGGGCTGGGCGATTTTCCCAGAATGTTTGACTTGATTCTCGATTTTTTAAAATTTATTTACGATTTTTAACTAGTCAACTTGAAAATATAACTACAACATAATTCAAGTAACTTTTTCTTTATTAACCCTCTAGTTAAGGAAAATTATATTCCAAATGCAGCACACATTAAGTTGTCAACATGATGCAAATGTTAAACAAATCACTTGTTAAATATCTTTGCAGAAACGATGCATAAACTACATATTGTACAAACTTGTCTTATACATATTATGTGTTCAGAAATAATACGAGGAAAATGCTTTTAAAAAATCTCAAAAGTCAAGTTAATTCAAATTCAAAATGACTGAAGGTATAACACCAGTAGATTAACTATAAATGCTCTGTAAAAACAACAGCAGCTTTCAGCCTGTCACCATGATGCAAACATGAAATATCAGACATACAGTAGTAGTTCTTTACAGTTTTTTATTATTCGATTGCGCTGCTTTTCCATAGTTTTTTCTGTGTAAACATGGATGTGTTTGACTGTTGCGCTCGGGTCTCTTGCAGTGTCTCATGCATGAAAAGGCTTTCTAAAAACACTGCGCTCAAGTTAAAAGAAGTTCACTCGCATCTTCTTGCATGTTTTACCTATTCCACTGACCGCGTCGCATCTTTGTCAACACAAAAGTTGACAAAGCGCTATATTTAGCGCTATATTTATGGTCCTTCACTGAGTGCGTCACACGTGAGTGGTTAATCATGTGCGCCGACATGCGGTTGCATCGTTCTTTTCTCTTTACTGTTCTTTTCTCTTTACTGTTGTTTCTCTTTACTGTTATCACTCATTGTCAAAGTGTCTAATTCTAACATTTGGTAAAATTTCTATTCAAAATCGCGATTCCCTGATTTCTAAAAAATAAAATCGTGACAAAACAATAAATTTGAATTAACCGATAAAATCGGGAAAATCGCCCAGCCCTAATCGTCATATCATTTGTGTTTGGAGGTTGGGATGCTCACTATGTTCTTGAGGTGGTGGGGAGTAGATAAAATGTTCAATGAAAAATAGGGATGCACCGATATGGGCTGCTGCGTGCATGGTTTGGCATGGCAGAATGCCAGCAAAGAGCACTGCATGTATAATCTCTAAAAGACATCTCAGTTCATCGCGATCTCACAAATCTCTGTTATAACACAATATATGCACAGTGAATCTTTCATAATGTCTACAATTCGTGTGTTATAATGAAGAGGATTCATGAACACGCAAATTTCAGCACTGCATTGCTCAACGCAGCGAACACGTGTTATAGCCTAAATAGAAACTCTGCATACGCTTGTACCTGTTAATCGTTTCTATTTTATATTAGTTCATGTTGCTTTTGTGCAATAGATGAATATCAATTTATTTGTTTTAGATATTTTATGTTTATATATTTCTATTTTGCGGGAGTCCCGTGAATCATTTTATTCTCCCGCATTCCACGCACACACGAGTGTCTACCCGCCCGCACCAGCACTCGCCCATCTTGTCCCGCACTGCACTCTGTTACGTTGGGTCTCGCGGGAGCAGGTCTCTAATCCAGTGGCACTTGACTCGACAGTGCGTGTGCTACATCCTTTTTAGATCTCTAGATTATAAAACACTGCATTCTGTCAGCAATGTAACGCGGCAGTAACGTTTAGAGACCTCGGCTTGTAACTATACTCTAATTACTATTTTGAAAATTATAACGCATTAAATTACTCCGTTACTAAAAAAGTAATCAAATTACAGTAACGCGTTACTAAGTAATGCGTTACTGCCCAACACTGGTTACTGAACATACTGAAGCGCATTTATATCATGTGGTATGCAATGACTGTTGCGCCCTGTCTTTTCAGACTGTCATACAGGATTTCCAGGCCTCTGTGCTGCAGGTGTCAGATTCGCCCTATGATGAACAGTAAGTTCAAGTACTTTTTATACAACACCGTTCAGAAGTTTTGGGCTAGTGAGTTTTTAAATAAATTAAATCAATACTTTTATTCAGCAGGTGCACACTAAATTAATCTAAAGTGACAGTAAAGACATTTTTTTGTAATTTATTTGATTTGATTCAACATTGGGTAAACATTTAGATTTCAAATGTTGTGTGTGTCATACATTTATGTTTACCATAAACCTGAGAGTAGTATTCATCAGATTATCCACATAGAGAAGAACAAAGAAAAGAAAAAAACAATGTACATAAAGAGTGATCTTTCTATACATTATAAACATTAGCTTGTGAAAGTAAAATCAGTCCTGTGGCTTATTTCATGGTTAACCCATTTTTACCATTTTAATGTGAATTGTTCCAGTTCCCGGTTAACAAATGCTGTTACCTGTTGTAATTTCCGTCCATGTATTTATAGTTGGACTTTCCTGTGACAAACCATTTCCTGGTGAGAGTCTTTTTAGTAGCCACCAACAGTATATTCATCAAGTATGTATTTCTCTTCAATCTTGCGGTAGATATATAAAGGTTTTATTTTCTAGGTGCAATACACATTTAAAAATATCTTGGAAAGCATTGTGTATCTCTCTCCAAAATAGCTGGACAGTCCCCCAAAATATTTTGGTTTCCACAATTTTTCCAGCAAACTGCTTTGTTACTAACATAGTGACATTTCTGAGAGCGTGTAACAAAACATCTTAGCAGATTTTTCCAGACTTCCATTTCTGTGAATTGGTGCACTTCCATTGATTCTTCCACGTTATTTTCCATTCTTCCTCAGATATAGTAACCCCTCCTACTTTCACCCATTTTGATTTAAGATAACAGGTTGAATGTGTTTTCAGAATTAACAATTTTATACATGCATGAGAATTCTACCATTAATATTTGAGTTATAGGCTAGCAAGTCTATTACACGTTTTGTATTTTTTATCTTCATATTGACAATCTTGTATCTGTAGGTTACCAATAGAAGTCCCATGTTTCCAATGTTTCAAACCTGGGTAGCAAATCTCCTTTTAATGTTTTATGTAGAACTGTTATTCCTTTAGCTGTCCAGCCCCTAAATCTAGTATCTAATCTATTTGTCATAAAATCTGACATGCACACCATTTGAGAAGCACCAGATTTCACTCTAATTTATATTCTTTTATAACAGTTTTTGGAATTTCCATACTTTGCCTATGGTTTATCAGTAGTATTTATATAATATTGTAAGTTTCTGTCAGCTAGGGTTGCCTTTATGGGAGTTGAGGATATTTTCTCCTCTGTGTGTTTTTCCACTGGGCCTCATAAATCGGATTGCACAAACATATGACTCCCATCTGTTCTGCAAAGTAATTTTGGCATAATGATGCATCCCTTGCCATGCCAAGGGGGATCTTCCATTTTCTTCTGGTGGACTATAGTTATATGAAAGCAACTGGGTTTCAAGTCATTTTATATCCTGAAAGTTTTTCGAATTGTTCTAATGATTGCATTAATTTAGGTAAAGAATCTGTAGGTTGCCCTGTGTACATCAAAATATTGTCTGCACAAGTTTATTTAATTTATATTAATTTTCTCTAATTTTAATCCCCTTAAAATATCCTCATTTTGTGTTGGCGAATTGTTCCAAGTACAATGCAAAGAGTAACTTGACCATGCACAGCCCTGTCTTGAGCCTCTTTCCAGAGTAAAACTATTTTTTTCAGCATCCATGCTCATCACTATTGCTTTAAATTTTTCTTTTTCGTATATGCTTTATTTAGGGCCCAATGTCATGCAAGTAGTATAATTGAAGTAAGTTCATTTTAAATGCCTTGTACCCCTCTGCCATGTATGTTGGTTTACTCAAAAAAAAAAAAAATAAAGCAGCATAACTGTTCTTGAGCGCAATATCCATGTATTAGAATGATTTCTGAGGATCATGTGTGACTGGAGTACTGGCTGCTGGAAATGTAGCTGCCATCACAGGAATGAATTGCCTTTTAACATATATTAGGATAGAAAAATATTATTCTGAATTTTAACTGTATTTCACAATATTACTGATTTTACTGTATTTATCATCAAATAAATAAAGGCTTAGTGAGGAGAAGAGACTTCTCTCAAAACCATTTAAGTTGTACTGACCCTAAACTTTTGAACGGTACTTATATGTGACCCTGGACCACAAAACCAGTCTTAAGTCACTGGGGTATGTTTGTAGCAATAGCCAAAAATACATTGTATTGGTCAAAATTATAGATTTTTCTTTTATGCCAAAAATCATTAGGATATTAAAGTGCCCCTATTATGGATTTTTGAAAATGACCTTTCATGCAGTGTGTAACAGCTCTAAGTGAATGAAAATATCCTGCAAAGATTTAAATATGAAAGTACACCGTGTATATAGTTATTGTCTCTCAAAAGAAAGAGTCGACTCTGAATCATTGAAACAGTCGTTTTTAAAACGAATCCCAAGCGTTACATGTTGACGTCAACATGAAACATTAGCATATTGCGCGCACACTTGTTGGTCTTTTCGTGTTGGTCTGAATGAAAATGTAAATTCATTCTTTGCCACTAGGTGCCGCTTTTGGAGCGGTAAAAAATAGCGGTTTCCCCGGTAACGCTGTACACAAAGCAGCACTGTGCTCACAAACGCTGCTTTATCAGGCATTACAGGCAAGATCAGGGATCTTGGGGTGAAGTAGGGGTGCTGAGGGGGCTGCAGCACCCCCTGTTTTCACATGGTTGCAAATGCAACGCCAAGTTTGTTCATTTAAATTTATTCAGTTTTAGCATTTAATAATTTATTTGTAATGATCTCGGAAATGTAAATTGTAAGTGGGCTATAATAAACCCATGTTTATCTTTATAAACATGATTAATTTTATTGTGATGTTTTCTATATGGGATGATTAGCCTAATCCTCATGAACACGTGATGCTGGCGCGTGGTTTCAGACATGAACTATACAGAATGCGAACAAGATTAACTTTAATACAAGGAGATAATGGCGCAAAAGCGAATTTCAGCACCGATGTAAGTGAACCATGAACCTTTCATTACCCATAATAGGGGCACTTTAAGTAAAGCTCATGTTCCATGAAGATATTTTGTAAATTTTCTACTGTAAATATATTAAAACTTAATTTTTGATTAGTAATATGCATGCTAAGTACTTCATTTAAACAACTTTAAAGGCGATTTTCTCAATATTTAGATTTTTTTGCACCTTCAGATTCCAGATTTTCAAATAGTTGTATCTAGGCCAAATATTGTCCTATCTTAACAAACCATACGTCAATGGAAAACTTATTTATTCAGCTTTCAGATGCATAAATATCAATTTCACAAAATTGACCCTTATGACTGGTTTTGTGGTCCAGGGTCACATATAACATTTTAAGTTTACATATCATAATTAACTTTATCAGTTGAACTTTTAGGTATGTGCAATGCTTATGATCTTAATGGAAAAAGAAAAACGCCACATGTCACAATTTGTCTTATACAGAGTAGCTGCCCAGATGCCCACTGTTCATTATGAGCTGCCAAATGGTTACAACTGTGATTTCGGAGCTGAAAGACTTAAGATCCCAGAGGGCCTTTTAGACCCTTCAAATGCTAAGGCAAGAAATATCCTTCTTACGTTGTCCAAGTTTCTTTCTGAAATGTTAGTATTTTTTTTTTCTTACGGCATCTTAACATTTTCCCAGGGTCTGTCAGGGAACACCATGCTGGGAGTCGGCCATGTTGTGACCACCAGCGTTGGCATGTGTGACATCGACATTCGACCAGTGAGATTTTAAAACTCTGCTGTACATCTACATGTACATGTCCTATGTCTTTGCTGCCAATACAGGTGACATTATGCTTCCCATATGTTTTTTTAAACAGGGTCTGTATGGCAGCGTGGTAGTTACAGGAGGAAACACTCTCATCCAAGGCTTTACAGACAGACTTAACAGAGAACTCTCGCAGAAGACGCCACCAGTAAGTGGCACATTTTGGTTTGCTTTATATTTTTACGTTTCATTTGCCAAATTTATATTTGTTGCTTTTTTTAATGTTAACACAGATTGTTTTGTGTCCTTTGTGCAGAGTATGCGTTTGAAATTGATAGCCAACAACACAACTGTGGAGCGCAGATTTAGCGCCTGGATTGGGGGCTCTATCCTCGCATCTCTGGTGAGTAGTGTTCACTAGGGCTCTCACGGGATCAGATTTTAACTGCACAATTGTTTATGATATTAAATGTAGCCTATAGTATTAGCACAGTATCAATATTTAGTTATTTTAATATCACTGTCAATATGTTCACCTCTTGATTTAAGTCTAACACCACAATATATTAATTACGACTCTGTTGTGCTACTTTTAGGGAACTTTCCAGCAAATGTGGATTTCAAAGCAGGAGTATGAGGAAGGTGGGAAACAGTGTGTTGACAGGAAGTGCCCTTAACCAGTTCCATCAACACCTGATTGCCTTCAGAGGGAGAGGAAAGAGAGAGAAAAAAAACACACCACACTAATAGAAAAAGCCTTCTTAGTGGACTCAGGAACTAACAAGGACACTTACTGTTATTTTTAGTGCAAACAAACCATGTTTTAAACAGTTTGACATGGTTGCACTCTTTTCTACTCTTCAACACAATATTTTCATATATCCAGTTTGACAACATAAATGTTTCTGACCACCTGCATCATTTTAAATAACAATGACAAGGTTATGTCTTTTGGAACATGGGAATTATATCCCTCAATTGTATCAGTGCTTTAAACAGTTGAAAGTTTTTTTTAATTTACACCACTTTGCCACTTCCTAGAAAACACACCACAGGAAACCAAATGTTTATGCTTTTAACAATTGATCGGCTGTTTTGGGAATAACATATAATTTTTTTTTTGTTAAACTGGTCTAAATTGATCTCATATTACACAAAGAGATAAAATTGTCAGTGTAGTGATTGTGCACATTTGTATTTAATTGTAGTTTTGTTCTAATAATTAATACATTTCAACTTGTCTATTCAGACTGTTATTAAAGTTATTCAAAAGAGAGAATGATTTGCAGTCCTAATAATTTACACACAATATTTTCATATATCCAGTTTGACAACATAAATGTTTCTGACCACCTGCATCATTTTAAATAACAATGACAAGGTTATGTCTTTTGGAACATGGGAATTATATCCCTCAATTGTATCAGTGCTTTAAACAGTTGAAAGTTTTTTTTAATTTACACCACTTTGCCACTTCCTAGAAAACACCACAGGAAACCAAATGTTTATGCTTTTAACAATTGATCGGCTGTTTTGGGAATAACATATAATTTTTTTTTTGTTAAACTGGTCTAAATTGATCTCATTACACAAAGAGATAAAATTGTCAGTGTAGTGATTGTGCACATTTGTATTTAAAGTTTTGTTCTAATAATTAATACATTTCAACTTGTCTATTCAGACTGTTATTAAAGTTATTCAAAAGAGAGAATGATTTGCAGTCCTAATAATTTACACAAGACGTAAAAATGAAACTAGGTAAATATATACAAAACAACAGTCATATATACAAAACAGCAGTCTCAGTTACAGGTTTGAATTTATTATTTGACCGTACAACATATTTTGAATCTTCAAAACTTGTAGAGAAATGAAAAAAATGTTACATGATGAAAAGATAATATTAAATGCGAAAAGTCTTATAAGTGGTTTCACACAAGTGCAGTCTTTTTTGGAAACATTGCGGCAAGCATTTTTTGGTTTCTCTTTTCTCTTTTTTCTTTCCGTATCTTACTCCTCAGGTATTTTTCAAGGCTCAACCTAAAATACAGAACAGCAAACATTACTGTGTATCCAGAAAATGTTATTTACATAATGTAACAACATTCGTTAGTGTCAATAACTATTTAAAAAAAAAAAAAATTTCAAAGCTTAAATGTTCACATCAGAATTTCACCTGAAACTTTGCATTCGCTTATAAAGAATACAAAACCTTTGTGAGACAAATATAATTCCATGAAATACATTTTTCAGTTACATTTGTTGTTACTCTGATGTGAAAACTTTTTGTGGTTGACTTTGTGGGAGACTTGCCTTGTGTAAGGGGCCACATGTGAAGGTTCAAAGAATCGCCGCCTTTTGTATCTGGAATTCAGGTACCAGGGGATTGGATGTTCCTTGAAGCGGTACCTGATGAACAAGCATGCTTGCAATAAGTTACATTACACAAACACAAAATAGATGTGCATAGGAGAACAATCTGCAAAATATTTACTCATTCGATTTGCTTACCAGAAGGTTTTGCCAAAAACATTTCTGCGCCATTCGCCCGGTCTACCTCTCTCTTGTCCTGTCTGCAGTAAGCGCAGAGAATCCTCACGTTCTGTCACAACTGTGTCAAGACGCTTTATTGACCTTTCAACCTATTCGAGGAATTCAGAATGGAATATTGGTTCATCCATGTACACTTGACAAACTGATGAGAACTCTTGGCTGTCATTTCCTTAAAGAGAATCATGAGACCAAGAATACAGCAGATAAAACTTGGCAGGCTGTGCAAATGCCTGCCAAGGCTGTCCCTTCAGAACAGTTATGAAAAACATTTGATCAAATAGATTTTTCTATAATACTTTAAAATAAAATTTAGCACAAATTTAGCCTGTGATGGCAAAGCACAATCTACAGCAGGTGTTGCATATGATCTTTCAAGAAGTGAAGTGGCCAAGTATGGTGACCCATACTCGGAATTAGTGCATTTATCCCATCCAAAGTGCACACACACAGCAGTGAACACACACCCGGAACACACAGTGGGCAGCCATTTTTTGCTGCGGCGGTTGGGGTTTCGGTGCCTTGCTCAAGGGCACCTCGGTCGTGGTATTGAAGGTGGAAGAGAGCGCTGTACATTCACTCCCCCCACTTACAATCCCTGCCGGTACGAGACTCGAACCCGCAACCTTTGGGTTACGAGTCCGACTCTCTAACCATTAGGCCACGACTTCCCCTTTAATCATTCTAATATGCTGACTTGGTATTTGAGAAACATTTCTTATCATTATCAGTGCTGAAAACAGTTGTGCTAGTTTATTTATGGAAGCCATATGGTTTTTTTTTTCTTCAGGATTCTTTAGAAAGCTCAAAAGAGCAGCATGTTGTTATTGGTAGATTTTTTTTATAAATGTAAAAATGTTCACTGTGACTCATAATCAATTCAATGCATCTTTTGCTAAAGCATAAATCTTACTGACCCAAGCAGTATACCAAAGTTGTGCATCGTCATTGTGCCATAGTAATTTTTTTTTCAAGGTTATACCATTTTATCAAAGGAAATCAAATAATTAAATTAAATTTCAACAAATTTTGCCGGTACGAGACTCGAACCCGCAACCTTTGGGTTACGAGTCCGACTCTCTAACCATTAGGCCACGACTTCCCCTTTAATCATTCTAATATGCTGACTTGGTATTTGAGAAACATTTCTTATCATTATCAGTGCTGAAAACAGTTGTGCTAGTTTATTTATGGAAGCCATATGGTTTTTTTTTTCTTCAGGATTCTTTAGAAAGCTCAAAAGAGCAGCATGTTGTTATTGGTAGATTTTTTTTATAAATGTAAAAATGTTCACTGTGACTCATAATCAATTCAATGCATCTTTTGCTAAAGCATAAATCTTACTGACCCAAGCAGTATACCAAAGTTGTGCATCGTCATTGTGCCATAGTAACACCATAGTAATTTTTTTTTCAAGGTTATACCATTTTATCAAAGGAAATCAAATAATTAAATTAAATTTCAACAAATTGAATACCTTTTTGAGGCGCTCTGGACTGGGCATCGGAAGACGCTGTCGTTTTGCCTCCTGTTCTAAAGTGAGTAACATGTTCTTTTCCTTCAAAAGAACATACCTGCAAAATACAAATAGTATTTTAATATTTATTGAATTTTAACTTTGAAAGTCTTCAAACTGTAAAAACTACTCAATTACCAAAGTTTGTGTAAGTCTTCGTTACTTTTCACTCTAAGCTGTTTGCCAGTCCATGGAGCACCTTTGAGGTTACAAACAAACAAACAAAAACATCATTATTAACAATATATTATAAAGTAATGAGATGGTAGATTAATATGACTATCTCAAAACCTAGTAGGCTTCTTATCTTGACAGAATATTTGGGCACTTAATATAATGCTGTCTAGATAGGGAGCTCACTTGTTTTGAGACAAAGACTACAGCTTATAGTAACAGAACAAAACAATTTTCAGCTGAAATGGTATGTAATATTGCTGGCACCTGATTTCACTGTTTGTTCACCCCAGTTCTCTGGCAGGTCAAAAAACTCTTCCAGTCCTCTCCTGACACAGGATGTGTGGAGTGCTCGGTTATTCATGGAGCTTCTGAACCACCACGAGTCATACGTTTGTCTAAATTCCGACAGATATGAAAAAAAGTTCATATTAATTGGTGATATGTTAAATCATGCTTCGTTCATTCTGGTTAAGACACTATCATGATGCACTGACATTTAAGCCCGACATATAATAAGCAAGAAAAAAATACCTTCGTTGACACGAATGAAATTTGGAGAACGCTTGAGTCGCACATTGAGGCTGTGTGTATGAAGAGACTGTAACAACACGCTGAAATTGTCTGCAGACAGCGGCGGTCAGGCGGCTCGTTACGGCCGCGGCCATCTTGACAATGTCAAACGAAACGATGAACGGAAGCGTGCAGCGCCACCTGTCGGACAGTACTATATATTCCCAACAACAACAACACATTTCTCCACGTTAAAAGTTCCAACGTTTTTTCCCCCACGTTCAGCACCACAGCATACACCAATATAAATAAGCAATAAAACGTTATCCTACAAAATCAGCTATTTAAAATAGCATAAAATTGAGGCGCATTAAATAATATTTGCATGTATCTTTGAGCACTTTTTGTCGAGTGTTGGTTGTTATTAAATGTATTTTTTTCTGTATTGAAACAATTTTACGATTCATTATTTATTTGTGCTACATTCCAAATGCCTTCATAGACCCAGAATTTTAGCCAGTTAAAATTGTAAGCAATATTATTATTCTTTTAAGTATAAGGAATAATAATAAGAGTAATTCAGAAAACTGAAGTGTAAATTATTCAGTGTGAATAAAATACTACAGACATTCAAAAATCGATCTGTTCTCATTTCAACATATTTTCTCAATTCAAATGGTCTACTTTCCAATATTCTATTCTATTCTGCTCTTCTTAATGGGAAAAGGATGTTTATCATCAAGCCCACTGACTTCTATGACAGAAGATTTCTTCACCTGCTGGTAAAACTTGTTATAAATACTTTGCTTCAGTTGCATATTATTTATAATGCTCATTCTTATAATAATTTGAAATAATTTCCCGATCTTTCTCTCCTCTCTTGTTTTGTTTACACCAGAAATATTACATTCTTCTCACTGGCATCCCTGTGGCAGCTCTTGTGACGTTTGTTAATATTTTCATAGGTACATTTCTCATGTAACTGGCAGTTTTACTTCCTGTAGCTTCTGTACCTGCCATAATAACTTGAATAATGTCAGTTACATCTGCAATTCACTAAACAGGAGAATCTGAGTTAGCGGAGATACCTGAAGGTTACGAACCAGAGCACTGGGAGTACTACAAGGTATTTTAAAATGTAACTGCATAAAAACATCAAATACACCTTATATGCCAGTAAAAAGTGCCCATTGTAACAGCTTCTGTACCTGCCATAATAACTTGAATAATGTCAGTTACATCTGCAATTCACTAAACAGGAGAATCTGAGTTAGCAGAGATACCTGAAGGTTACGAACCAGAGCACTGGGAGTACTACAAGGTATTCTAAAATGTAACTGCATAAAAACATCAAATACACCTTATATGCCAGTAAAAAGTGCCCATTGTAATTGTATTTCTTTTTATTGTGTCGATGCTGTTTCCTTTCATTGGTTGTCTTCGTTATATCTTAGCATCCCATCACCCGTTGGATTGCTCGTACCTTTTATGACAGCCCAGTGAAGGACTATGAGAAAATGATGGCACTTATCCAAATGGAGGCCGAGAAGGCTGAAATGAGGTAAGCTGTCTTTATATGATTCAGCTAATTAGGATCAATGAGAACATGACATATTTTACATATGTGTATTTACATTTAAGAATTAGATTTATATTTTCCTAAATATTTGGCAACACTTTACATTAAGGTATCATTTTGTTAACATTAGTTAAATGAATAGTTCATCCAAAAATTAGCTGGAAATGTACTCACCCTCAGGCAATCCAAGATGTGGATAGTTGGATTTGCAGCTGTAGCTGTGTGTTACTCTTGCTTCAGGTTAGTTTTGTATTATATTTGACTTCCTGTTGAATAAAAAGGGTGTTTTGCAGACAGCAATGCTGTGGCAATGTGTGTTGACTTGCTGACCTTCTTTTTGCTATTATATATTTTTTTAACCTATTTTAACCTTGTTCTTTTACAGTTGTTGTCCGTCATGGGAGCCATGGGAAAAGGATGTTTATCATCAAGCCCACTGACTTCTATGACAGAAGATTTCTTCACCTGCTGGTAAAACTTGTTATAAATACTTTGCTTCAGTTGCATATTATTTATAATGCTCATTCTTATAATAATTTGAAATAATTTCCCGATCTTTCTCTCCTCTCTTGTTTTGTTTACACCAGAAATATTACATTCTTCTCACTGGCATCCCTGTGGCAGCTCTTGTGACGTTTGTTAATATTTTCATAGGTACATTTCTCATGTAACTGGCAGTTTTACTTCCTGTAGCTTCTGTACCTGCCATAATAACTTGAATAATGTCAGTTACATCTGCAATTCACTAAACAGGAGAATCTGAGTTAGCGGAGATACCTGAAGGTTACGAACCAGAGCACTGGGAGTACTACAAGGTATTTTAAAATGTAACTGCATAAAAACATCAAATACACCTTATATGCCAGTAAAAAGTGCCCATTGTAACTGTATTTCTTTTTATTGTGTCGATGCTGTTTCCTTTCATTGGTTGTCTTCGTTATATCTTAGCATCCCATCACCCGTTGGATTGCTCGTACCTTTTATGACAGCCCAGTGAAGGACTATGAGAAAATGATGGCACTTATCCAAATGGAGGCCGAGAAGGCTGAAATGAGGTAAGCTGTCTTTATATGATTCAGCTAATTAGGATCAATGAGAACATGACATATTTTACATATGTGTATTTACATTTAAAAATTAGATTTATATTTTCCTAAATATTTGGCAACACTTTACATTAAGGTATCATTTTGTTAACATTAGTTAAATGAATAGTTCATCCAAAAATTTGCTGGAAATGTACTCACCCTCAGGCAATCCAAGATGTGGATGTGTTGGTTTCTTCATCAGAACAGATTTGGAAACGTTTAGCATTACATCACTTGCTCACCAGTGGATCTTCTGCAGTGAATGGGTGCCGTCAGAATAAGAGTCCAAACAGTTGCTAAAAACATCACAATAATCTACAAGTAATTAACATGACCTAATTTAATCAATGTTAAGATGTTTTTATAAATTGCTCAGAAACATAAATCGGCGCCTATGCAACAGGGGAAGGACTTTTTCACTGGAGGAAGCATCATTATGGACTGATATTTTGGCCAGAAGGAACTGTTTAAAGTTAAAACACCTTAATGATGGATTTGTTTATTACAAACACGCAGCTTTTCACTTCACAAGATGTTAATTTATGGACTGGAGTTATGTTACTTGTAGATTATTGTGACGTTTTTATCAGCTGTTAAGACTCATTCTGAAGGCACCAATTCACTGCAGTGAATCAGCATGTTCAGCATATTTTTGATTTGTGGGTGAACTATTCTTTAACTACATTAGCTAACGTAATAATAATTAAAATACTTTTAAAGCCTTTATTAATCTTAGTTAATTTTATAATTAAAATCAAAAGTTGTATCTGTTAATGCTATCTACTGGACCTGCGCTAACATGAACTAACTATGAATGGTTAGAATGTGTTTACAGTACCTAACTAAAGATGAATACATACTGTAACAAATGTATTAGGCATTGTTAGTGAACTTTAATGAATGCATTAACAAATGTTAAAGGGATAGTTCACCTCAAAAATTCTGTCATCTTTTGCTCAACCTCAAATTGTTCTAAACCTGTGTGAATTTCTTTCTGCTGCTGAACATGTCAAAAGAATATTGGTAACCAAAGTCTTGATGGTGCCCATTGACTTCCATATTATAACAAAAATATGGAAACGGATTGGTTACTCATATTTTTGATTTGTGGGTGAACTATTCTTTAACTACATTAGCTAACATGTAATAATAATTAAAATACTTTTAAAGCCTTTATTAATCTTAGTTAATCTTATAATTAAAATCAAAAGTTGTATCTGTTAATGCTATCTACTGGACCTGCGCTAACATGAACTAACTATGAATGGTTAGAATGTGTTTACAGTACCTAACTAAAGATGAATACATACTGTAACAAATGTATTAGGCATTGTTAGTGAACTTTAATGAATGCATTAACAAATGTTAAAGGGATAGTTCACCTCAAAAATTCTGTCATCTTTTGCTCAACCTCAAATTGTTCTAAACCTGTGTGAATTTCTTTCTGCTGCTGAACATGTCAAAAGAATATTGGTAACCAAAGTCTTGATGGTGCCCATTGACTTCCATATTATAACAAAAATATGGAAACGGATTGGTTACTCCAATTTTTCTTTTGTTTTCAGAAGAAATTCATACAGGTTTGGAACAACTTTAGGATGAGTAAAAGATAGAAATTTCATTTTGGAACTGTCCCTTTAACTAATGGGACCTTACTTAAAGTTATTACCAAATATTTTAATTTATAATATAAGAATAGGTGGAACTCGTATGTGTCCTTCATTTTTTTTTAGCTTTTATTGCTGACAGGAATCTTACAGTACCTAACTAAAGATGAATACATACTGTAACAAATGTATTAGGCATTGTTAGTGAACTTTAATGAATGCATTAACAAATGTTAAAGGGATAGTTCACCCCAAAAATTCTGTCATCTTTTGCTCAACCTCAAATTGTTCTAAACCTGTGTGAATTTCTTTCTGCTGCTGAACATGTCAAAAGAATATTGGTAACCAAAGTCTTGATGGTGCCCATTGACTTCCATATTATAACAAAAATATGGAAACGGATTGGTTACCCCAATTTTTCTTTTGTTTTCAGAAGAAATTCATACAGGTTTGGAACAACTTTAGGATGAGTAAAAGATAGAAATTTAATTTTGGAACTGTCCCTTTAACTAATGGGACCATACTTAAAGTTATTACCAAATATTTTAATTTATAATATAAGAATAGGTGGAACTCGTATGTGTCCTTCATTTTTTTTTAGCTTTTATTGCTGACAGGAATCATTTTTTGCAGATCTCTAAAGTGCAAATCAATACCTGGTTCTTATGCGCGAGTGTCATTATGATTATGCCCAGCATTCACCACCTCTCCTTAAGCACATTGCAGTTTCTGTTAATAAAATGTTGTAAAAGTAAAAGTATTGTCTTAAATGAAATTTTTGTTAGCCTTTGAGTCAAAAAGGATGAGAACCACAGTGTTTTTTTTTAACTGCAGTACATAATTTCTTGCTCCACGGTATGAAATACATATGACTGAGTAGGACAGTGTTTCTCAACCCTGGTCCTGGGTGCCCCCAACACTGCACATTTTGTATGTCTCCCTTATCTGACACACCTATTTCAGGTCCTGGAGTTTCTTTTAATGAGCTAATGAGTTGAATCGGGTGTGTTTGATTAGGGAGACACACAAAATGTGCAGTGCTGGGGGGCGCCCTGGACCAGGGTTGAGAAACACTGGAGTAGGACAAAACAGTTGGAATTTTATTACAAGAATGACTAATTAATGAAAGGAGAAAGACTCAACTGGTTTTCATGGGTTATCAATTTAATGCTATAATAACATTTAAGCCATTTTGGTTAAAGTAGAATCAAAGTTTGAAGGTCAAGAGCAGTGATGGGCAAACTTGGCCCTTCCAGGCCACTTTCCTGCAGAGATTTGATCCAACCCTGATAAAACTCACCTGCCTGTATACTTCTAGTATTCTTGAAGACAATAGGCTTGTTTGAGATGCGCCTCGCCTCACCTGAAATGTAGGCGAGAGTAGGCGGCTGCAGTGAGGGGAGGAGTGAAATAAGCACAGTCAAGACAGACAGTTCTGACCTCTCGAAGTGGAGCAGATACCAACGAGATCAAAGGCGGATATCGCGTTATTCACACTTACATGCTGTGTTGCTAATAAACATGATATAATTTCAGTTCTGTTGCTTTTATATGAAAATAAATATGATACAAGACACTCAAAGTGCTTGCTATTTAATTCCGTACGAAAGGTGTAATCATCCATTTTTACTTTAATACAAACATGTATTTTGTATTTTTATAGAAATATGACAACAATCACATTATCTCACACAGAGATCGCACTGTCATAGTGTTTGGGAACATTCATGCATAATTTAAATACATAATCACATGAAATCAGATAAATTTTTTTTTAACATTTTAGAAGAGAACCGCAGCATCACAGGTGTCTGAACCAATGAGCATTAAGCTGTGACGTCAGTCAGTGGTTTCCCCATCATGCCGTCGCGAGAGTTTTTTGGCACACGTCAGCATGACATCAGAGCAAGTCGGATGTAACTCGTACACTTTTCTAACCGGTATGCATCTCGCGGTGATCACTGGTGATCGGCTCTGCGCAGATTTTGCTCATCTCAAACAAGCCTAGTGATTAGCTGGTTCAGGTGTGTTTGATTAGGGTTGGAGCTAAACTCTGCAGGACACCGGCCCTCCAGGACCGAGTTTGGGCACCCCTGATCTAGTTTAACAGTCTGTATTATGACCTTTCAAAATTCTGCTCACTAAAGCATTCCACACCATATGTAGGTTCATTTCAAGTGTGAGGTGCCTTCAAGTAAAGAAATATCACAATATCATTAATAAATAATGGACAAAAACATTAGAAGAAAAGAGCAAAAACTTCTGTAGGGTAAAAATAATGAAGGAATTGTCAAACCTTGCGATGCAATTTAATGTCAGTACCACAACAACAAAGGCACTGCTCACAGATATGTATCTTGTTTTTATGTAGCCTAATTGATTATCTCTAATTTATTATCCTCTATTTTTCTTGTAGACAACTACAACTTGAAGTCCGCCGACACATGAGAGAAAAAGGAGATGGACCCTGGTTCCAGATTCAGACTCTTGATAAGAATCTCATCGACCACAGCCCCAAGTCATCCCCTGATAACTAGGAGTGCTCATGCATACCTGTCCAAAATATTCAGCCATTATACAATGTATAATGTATTGTTATAAATAAAAAATATCATGTTTCTTTTTCCTTTTTTTTGCCTCTGGCACCAATAAACTAATGATTATAAATAGACTCTTACTGCTCTTGTGTATTCTTTTGAGTATTGCTTAAAGAATTTACCCAGAAATTAAAATGTCATCTATTGATTTCAGACTGTTCATTGAAAAAATATGTTGTATGGCTTCAGAAGATTAGGAATACAGCACATACTGACTGCTGCTTTTATGTTTATAGAAACTTGAAAGCCCCTGTCCCAATTCTTTATATTTTCGTGAAAAAGATCAAACAAATTATTCATAATTTCTTATTTTGTGTTCCACAGAAATAGGAAAGCCAGCCAGGCTTTAAAGTTACCAAATACCAAAGAAACGATTGGAATCGAAACCTAAATATTATAAAATATTAATTTTTGCAGTCACACTAGAATCAGAAATTTCCAGTAACCATAAAGGTAAAGTGCTGAAGTGCTACATCAGAAGATATGGTCAATTAAAAGATAATTTCAGAATTATGTGAATAAAATACAATTTCAGTTAATAAATTCTTTCTCCAAGCAAACAACTCCCAACTACTGTATATCAGTCTATTGTCTTCAGCCTAATATATCATTGTAAAACATCAATTTCAATATATTTAGTTTTGACTAATATAATAAAAAAAAAAGTTAGACCAGAATTATTACTGAATTATTGAAAGAGTAAAGTTATTTAGTGTAGGTTATATGATACACTGCATAAAGAGTTTAATTAGCAGTTAACTTTGACACACAATGTAAAATTTATAACAACAGCAATAATAATACTAATAACACCAATGATAAATAAACTTTTTAGTCTATAGCATCTTTCATTAAAAAAAAAACATTACAGTAAGCACCAAGTACTTTACATGAAAACGTAAAAATACCTAAATTAATATAACAGATTAAAGATGAACCTCATTTTATAATGATAATAAAAGAGGGTAAAATTAGTAGGCTTATACATAAAATACTTAACAATAAGTGGAATTTAAAATGAAGTAATAATAAAGGACAACGTAATACATATACTATTCCATAAAAATGCTTGTTAAAAGATAAAAAAAAGAGATAACGTTAAGTTATTCAGTATGAAGTACACTACATGCAGACTGTACTGCCACTGCCATTATAAACACATCAAACTCACTCTGCGGAGATCTGAAAACGCCACCACTTGGCGTCAGGGTGAATAATGTGAAATATTGCCTATTTCTCCAAAGGGACACCCATTGTTTCCCACCCCTAAACCCCCCCTCCACCCTCCATCCCTCTATGTCCCAATGTTTTCGTCGTCACCTCCCTCGGTCCATGAGGAATGTCGGGTCTGTATGATTTAAAAATAGCCCCATCTCATCTTCTGCCTGACACGCTGCTCCAGCGAGACTCACAAAAGATGAACCTCATTTTATAATGATAATAAAAGAGGGTAAAATTAGTAGGCTTATACATAAAATACTTAACAATAAGTGGAATTTAAAATGAAGTAATAATAAAGGACAACGTAATACATATACTATTCCATAAAAATGCTTGTTAAAAGATAAAAAAAAGAGATAACGTTAAGTTATTCAGTATGAAGTACACTACATGCAGACTGTACTGCCACTGCCATTATAAACACATCAAACTCACTCTGCGTAGATCTGAAAACGCCACCACTTGGCGTCAGGGTGAATAATGTGAAATATTGCCTATTTCTCCAAAGGGACACCCATTGTTTCCCACCCCTAAACCCCCCCTCCACCCTCCATCCCTCTATGTCCCAATGTTTTCGTCGTCACCTCCCTCGGTCCATGAGGAATGTCGGGTCTGTATGATTTAAAAATAGCCCCATCTCATCTTCTGCCTGACACGCTGCTCCAGCGAGACTCACAGTGGTGCGAGCAGCAGGAATGTGAAGATGGCTACAGATCTGGGAGAGCTACTGGTCCCGTACATGCCCACCATTAGAGTACCGAGGACAGGAGACAGGGTTTTCAAGAGCGAATGCGCTTTTTCCTACGACTCTCCTGTGAGTATTATGTCAAATACTTCATGCATGAACGTTAAACAACAACTGGCGTCCCCCGGACACGTGAAAAGCTGCGTATAGCGCGTAAGAGAGATGGGGGATCCTCGGCCACCATTCTCCAGCTCAACTTATGTGACAGCCTTCAGAAATAAATAAATAAATAAATAACCCACGGGTGTTTACATCTTACAGTGGGACCAGGTTTCCGTACTTCAAATGGCGCAATACGAGCTACAGATGTGTAATGGTAGCATAAATAACACTGCAAGTCTGAACGCTGGTCTATAATACAGAGAATTTCTGTCCTCTGTTTTTAAAGGCGTGTCAAAGCAATAATAATATTTCCCCCGTTCTTATGCATTCGACATCCTCCCATCAACATTGGCAATATAGTAGCATGATACTTGTTGAGATCAGACTGTATTGTGTACTGCGACTGTTGTGTAGCTTGATAAATGTGCAAACTGTGATTTCCTAAATGTACACTAATAAGCAGTAAGCAGCCATGACTTATAAAACGAATTCAGGTCAACGTGGGTTGTTATACATATTCAACTGTACAAGCTCTGACCACAAATATATAATGATCCTATATTTTGGAGAGCGGTGATGGGAACTTTTATAGAAATGTGGGTAAAGTGCACAACTAGCTCCCAGCTGTAAAAGTTTTAAAGGTGACTCAGCTGTTTGGAGTTGGTCATGTCAGACTAAAAGACAGGTTATTTTTACACACTATCTGTTCAAGCTCGTGTGTCACCAGCAGCTAGTGACAGGTTTTTCAGTCTGGTGGGCCCTCAACACCCTAACCAACACACACCAGGCCTGTAACTCAGTGTTTTGATTCAGATTAAACTTCTTATTTGTTTATTCTTTACTGCTGAAAGAGTTTAAAATAATTAATCTTATTGTTTTGTATGAATTTTTCAATTTAAAGGAACAAACGCCATTGAAAACAACTTTGATAACTTACAAGCATTATAAATTATGTGAATAATCTTAATGACCAAAAGTATCATGATGCCATGTTATTGCAATATATGCCTGAAAACATTTCATTAACGTGTGCAGCAACAAAAAAGGGCACCATTACTAGTAAAAGGCACAATTCTGAGCATTATGCAATTTTATGTTTATTTATAACTTTTATGTCTAATAATTGTAGGTCTATTTGTAATCATAGAGAGCAGATACTCTGCATAAAAAATTCAGTAAAGCCCTAGATTGCAAAAATGATTCAGTTGTTTTTGATTGTGTTCAGCTATTAAAGTGTTTTCTCTTTTCATGTATACAGTTTGTATGTTTATGACTTCAAATGTTTATGACATCTAATCTCTAATAGTTTTGTTCACATTTGTTTTCTAAATGTAACTTATTAGAAATATGAAATTGTACTTTATGTACAATTGGTTTTAATTATTGATATTTAACATGAAGTATAAAATTACTTGGCTACATTTGTCTTAGCTTATATCAGGTTTCATCATTTTTTAGGAATCGGAAGGAGGTCTGTATGTGTGTATGAACTCATTCCTGGGTTTCGGAAGAGAACATGTGGAGAGACATTACCGTAAAACTGGACAGAGTGTGTACATGCACTTAAAAAGACATGTGAAAGAGGTAAGAAGAGTGACAAAACTTTTTTCAAACTTTTTTTTATTGTCGGATTCTTTGTAACCTTCACAGAAAAAGTAAATATATATGTTTCATTCACTCTAAAGGAACTTGTGCATATTAAATGCATTATGGAACCTTACTGAAAGCTGTATCCAACAACACAAAGAAAGCAAAAGAGACAAAGTAATATTTAATGATCATTGGTGTAATGTAGTGCAGCACATGTTGAAGATGGATTCCTGTCAGTGAATGTCTTGATGAAGAACTTTCATTGTGTTGTCTGCTTACTGCAATTGACTTAATTTGCAATTGACACTTTTGACTTAATGTTTTGTGTACAAACAGATTTAGTGCATCCAGTAACATAACAAAAGCATTACCATAAACATAAAGTGCCAGTGAATAATGAGTAAACTTTTCCAGAACAGATGAGGCCAGTATTTTATTAGGTCAAGTTCGAATTAGCAGATTGCACTGCACTGATTTTATGAGGAAATCTATGGAATAGATTTAAATATGAAAAGTTGTGCTAAATAAGGCCAACAATACTAAACATGTATTTCAAAGCATTTTCAAATGAGCAATAATGCTTTTTAAACATGCAAGGGGTGGAGGATGTGTGGATCGTGAATGACAGATGTTCCGATTCTGCAGAAATCTGTTGAGCTTTCTTTGGACTTTTGTCAGCAGATTCAATGTGTGGATGTGCTTATTAGGCTACTGAGACTATGTATGTTGCAGCTAATTATTATTTTGATTATTGATTAGTCTGACAGGGGCTGACGAGACGTGAGACGTGCGGATCCATATGCAAGCTTTATTGAAACGAAGACAGAGACGTGGTCATGAAACAGGCATGGGTCAGATGAGGGCAAACAGGTATATGGTGGGCAAAACACAAGAATAGTCCTAGAGCTAGCACAGGTCGACGATCGGCAGACAGAATCAAAAGAGGCAAGACAAAAGGGGTGAATCCAGGGAACCAGGCGAAGATCAGAAACCGGGAAGGCTAAGGCTAAGGCAAATGACTAGGGCTAAGGTTAAGGCTAACGACTAGGGCTAAGGCTAAGGCTAAGGCTAACGACTAGGGCTATAGCTATCTCTAGGAGAGTGATAAACGCTGAAACAATACTCGGCAGCGGGAAGGGATCAGAGTGAGTGTTAAATAGTGAGGGAGTGATATGAAACAGCTGGGTGCAATCAGTGTAAACAGGTGTGTGCAATTCGTGCTGAGTGCAATCAGTGCAATGCATGATGGGAAATGTAGTCCGGGGTGATGTGCAACAGTGTGTAGTGCGAGAGTCAATGAATAGGAAAGTTCGTTGACCGGATTCGTGACACTCATATACCTAAATGTGCACAATTCATGAAGACTGCATAGCAGGAGGTCTGTTGGATTTAGAAAATGTATGTCCATGTTCAGAACCGATGTTTTTGAAGGCATCTTTGAATGTTATGGTTTTAATCATTGTGATGTGACAGTTCTTCAGCACAAATTTAGAAAGAAACCGGCAGTTCAGAGGGTGCTTTTGACATTTTGGCTTATAAATGATGAGCCCAGCATAACCCTCTTGGGAAATGTCAGCAAGAAAAAGCACAATAAAAGAACATCTGGATATTTAAAATAACTACAGTAAATGTGTTTTCTGAGCTTTTTCACAAACTGAGCGACGTGTCAGAATTAATTTCTGTGATAACTAGAGGAGCATATAACTAGACAGCATGCTTGGTAGATTAACAAAAAAACAGCATGGTACACAGAGAAGAAAACTGAACTGTGACGCATTATTTAAAACACCATTTTACGTTGTTTTTCACTATATGTACTAAATTTAATATAGATTTTAAATCTTCAGATTTTAAAATAATGTCTCGTTTTTGAATGTTACCATGGCAGTCTTTCCTTATAGCAGGTCTACTGAATCCCAGTATGCTCTTATATACTGGCCTAATGATGACTGATTTGTTGGTTATTTAGAACAGGAACCTAATTATGAAATGGTTTCTTGTTCTTTCCAAGTGAATGTTATGCTGGTTAAATGCTGCTATTTTCATGTCTGGATCTGTCCAGAAACAGCCGGCCCTGTTCCTGTTGCTTTTGTGTTTGCTGTTTATACTTGGGATTACATGAGAAGCCTGTCAGCATTACCCATTCAGTCGTTACTCTACAATCAATTGATTTTACCATTATGTGCTTTGTACTGAACAAACATTCCCAACTGTCAAAGGATTCTCATTGAAATGAAATGACTATCAAATTAGATCCGAGCAGATAAACTGGAATCCCTTTGGGATTGGTATTATGTAATCTTTATGTCTTTGCTATTGAACTTATAAAGGGAGCTTTAACAGTTTAGACAGCAAAAATAGATGCAACACTTTTTTACCATATTTACTCTAAAATGATCTTTATTCCCAAACAATCATTCCCAACTTTCATATGCACATCAATTGGATTTTATCCAGATTTGCAACATGATTCAGTAATTTTTGTTGTTCTGCATAGACACACATGGCATTTATTACCCATGTTGTTTCCTTTTATAATTTTCTTTTATTAAATTTTCAAAACATTATTTTTCGGAACTAAAACCACAACAAACATACAAACAAGGAACAGATACTGTCAGCACTGCTTATAAATATGGAAAATATCCACATCACGTAGTAATACCATATGTGACGCTGGACCACAAAACCAGTCATAAGTAGCACGGGTCTATTTGTAGCAATAGTCAACAATACATTGTATAGGTCAAAATTATCGATTTTTCTTTTATGCCAAAAATCATTAGGATATTAAGTAAAGATCATGTTCCATGAAGATATTTAGTAAATTGCCTACCGTAAATATATCAAAACTTCATTTTTGATTAGTAATATGCAGTGATAAGAACTTTATATAGGCAACTTTAAAGGCGATTTTCTCAATATTTAGATTTTTTTGCACCCTCAGATTCCAGATTTTCAAACCATACATCAATGGTGATCTATAAATACAAATAAAAAATAAAAAAATAAAAAGACTTTTGTATGGTTTTGTGGTCCATATAAAAATATTTGAGTACAAAGCACTTTACAGTTTTATGACCCATGTTGTTTCCTGATGTTAATTACAGAAAGCCACAGGTGCTGCAGGGGGTGCCATACCAAGACGAAGGAATGGAAAAATATTTTTAGGTAAGTCTGTTTTAAAGTAAAAAAAAAAAACTTAAACTTCTACCTCAAACCCGTTTTAATAAGCCATGTATTTTTATGTTTAGCAGTCTCAGTCATTACTGGCTGGGGCTAAATTTAGCTAATTTATTTGTATATGCAGTTAGTAACCGTTCTAAATCTAAAGTGCCACATGCTTGCCCAGGCCTAATCTTCTGCTATGGAGGGTTGGTTTACAGTGGCCGACTATGCCTGTCAGCTGCTGTGCCCTATCAACCCCCCAAGCTGACACACTTCTGCCATTGGAGGTGTGACGTAGCAGCTGGGGGACCGGTGGCCGCTTATTCTCAGGCATCCAATCAATATAAACGCCTCCTTCTCTGGTTGAGGGCGATACGTCAGAAAGGATGCCAGTCATTTTGTAAACCCACAATGCTTTCCCAACTCAGACTGTTTTATTAAGGATAATATGTCTGATTGGAGCTCAAACATATGCGATCATGTTTTCTTTAGTCTGTCAGTTTTCGTAGCAATGTTGTTGTGCAGAAAAAAACGTTAAATTTGGCATACTCAAACTAATTAAATTGATGTATTATCCTTCTATAATGAGCAAACTTGCAGTTTTTATGACCTCATTTTGAATTTGCATTGCAGGACGATTTAAGTGTAAAAAAGCCATTTTTAAAAGGTTGTTAAAAACCTGAAAAAGGCAAAATGCGACTCGCTGCCCCTAAAATATACACTTTTTGAGGGAGCTCAAGAAAATGTTTCATCAAAACATACTAAAAGTATGTATAAATAGTATAAATATGAATAGAAATCTATTTTTGATTGTGTACATTTTGTGCAATTTCATCATGTGTTTGTTAATTCATTTTTTGGGGACATTTTAAGCACTTGTTTTGAGTGCAGTCATCCCATCAGCTCTCGATTAAAAATATCTCTCTCTGCTTCTTTTCCTGAAGATTTAGAGCTTAACCGTGATTTTAACGGAGATGGTTATGAGTATGAAGATGAAGCCAAGCTTGTCATATTTCCAGACCACTTTGAGATCCCTTTACCAAATATTGAGGAGTTGCCCGCACTGGTTAGTGAGAGTGTGTGCTCATGCGCCCTGTGTGCCCTGCATGCCAAAGGCCTGATCTGCCTTTCAGTTTCAGTGCTTGCTTGTCACGTCATTACATTTTATTCTGTCTGCAGATGACCTTATTCTTTATAAACTCACTGTTCATGCTTCTCATTGTGTGCAGTGATGTCATGTGGTGTAGCAGTGATATGAGTTTTAGTTTAACCTATAATAGCTAACCTATTTTTTAAAAGAAGTTTATTTTTTATTTGATCTGAATTCTTATAATTATTTTTGCTTTAAAGCACAATGATTAGTCATTGCTGCCTGCCATGTCTTATGTTTTTACTGATATTTTTTGAAAATATTAAGAGCAATAAAGGGTTTTTTAGGGGTAAACACAGATACCGAGAGAGCAAGTTGACTGGTAGCTGTTATAATACCGATACATTTTACCATACAATTTCTTAATTAATTATGACAAAAAAAAGATCAAATCATAATGGAAAAAGTTTGGAGTCAGTAGCAGATTTTTTTTAAATTGAAAGAAAATTATACTTTTTTTCAGCAAGAATGCATTCAGTTGATCAAAAGTAACAGTAAAGACTTTTACATTGTTTATAAATTAAAATTCTATTTCAAATAAATGCTGTTCTTTTAAACTTTTTGTTGATCAAGAATCACAATTTCCCCAAAATTTCAAGCAGCACAACATTGATAATAATAAGTTGACTGGTAGCTGTTATAATACCGATACATTTTACCATACAATTTCTTAATTAATTATGACAAAAAAAAGATCAAATCATAATGGAAAAAGTTTGGAGTCAGTAGCAGATTTTTTTTAAATTGAAAGAAAATTATACTTTTTTTTTCAGCAAGAATGCATTCAGTTGATCAAAAGTAACAGTAAAGACTTTTACATTGTTTATAAATTAAAATTCTATTTCAAATAAATGCTGTTCTTTTAAACTTTTTGTTGATCAAGAATCACAATTTCCCCAAAATTTCAAGCAGCACAACATTGATAATAATAAAAAAAAGTTTATTGAGCAGCAAATCAGCGTATTAGTATAATAAAGACTAATGCAGAAAATTCAGCTTTGCCATCCAGAAATAAATTATATTTGAAAATATTTTTAAAGAAAAAATGGTTATTTTAAATTGTAACAGCATTTCACAATATTACTGTTTTTACTCCCTTTTTTTTTTTGGTTAAAAAAATGCAGCCTTGTTGAGCATATCACTGAAAAACACTGAAATATCTTACCTACCCCATACTTTTTAACAGTAGTGTGCAAACAGATATCTCAAATATTTGAGTAATTACCTGTCGATATATTGTTCTTTCAGTACACATGATGCAAAAAGATTCATTTGTTACAGTTTATGTTGTACTTCAGTTATTCATACAACACAAATAGTAGCACACAACCAAACACACATTTTTGTATTTGTCAACAACTGCATGGTGTGCTTACTTACTGCTGCTGCGCTTATTATTTATTACCTAGAAAATAGTTGCATTATCTATTTGCCCAGGAGTTTCAAGGCTTTTAAATCTAGTTAGTCATAATCTGCACCACTTTCCAGCTTGCTGTGGTTTTTTAAGCACTCATTAGGAGCAATATCACACTAAGCAATGTAAAATATAATGTTCACATGTCCCTTTAATTTTCAGGTGACAATAGCTTGTGACGCCGTCCTCAATGCTCCATCTCCATACAAAAAGCAGGAATCTGATTCATGGGAAGAGGAGATCCAAGTATCTAGACATGCCAGAAGTCTCAGACAGCAGGAGAATGGGGTTCGAATTCCTCCCAGGTTGGTCTCATGGCAGCCCAGAGTCATATGGACTGGCATTCTAGAGACTGCTGATGCTTGCTTCAGGTCACCCTTGAATCTGATATGTCTGCTTTCTCTGCCAAGTGGAATAATATCAAAACAAGCTATTGATGTTTGATCAAGTGCTTGAATATGTTTAGGATAACTTATTAAAACACCCAGAATGTCTTGACATCTATGGGGCAATGCCTATGAGGCAATGCAGCCGTTATCCTGATTCAAATATTCCTAAAAACTTCTTTGAGGAGCATGGATTTTTTTTCAGAATTTGGAACCAATCCTAAAGGATTCTAATTGAAATTAAATGGCTATCAAATTAGATCCGAGCAGATAAACTGGAATCCCTTTGGGATTGGTATTGTGTAATCTTTATGTCTTTGCTATTGAACTTATAAAGGGAGCTTTAACAGTTTAGACAGCAAAAATAGATGCAACTCTTTTTACCATATTTACTCCAAAATGATCTTTATCTTGCAAACTTTAAAAGAGAAGATTAGCATTTTCCTTTGCTAAGCTTGTTGCTAGATTTAAGAGCAGACACAATAGGAATCAGTGTTGTTTTTGTAATTATTGATATACTATTATTGTATTTTGAATACACTTTTATATTTTCTGTTTTCCTTTTAATTTAAATTTTAGTTTTTTTTATTATACCCCCCCAATTTAGCCTTTATTTAATTTTTTAAATATAGTTTTAGTAATTTTAGTGCTTTAACTTAATCTTCAACTTAATCTAAGTTAAGATTCAATTTAATCTTATTTATTTCTAATTTTTATTTACATTTTTGTAAGTTTTGTATCCAACATTTATATTTTATTATATTTCTGCTTCATTTTTAATTACAGAAAACAATTAGTTTTAATTAGCAATAACAACACTGAAGGTGTTAAACATTTTTCTTTAGCCATGTGGCAGATAATCTCAAAATGGCCAAATATGGGCCAACTGATTGGTCTATCTGATATACTGATATGCTGGAAATGGTCTAGTCTTGGTCTACATGATAAGATTACAGCATATAGTCAGTGGATTATAGAGTAACATAGCCTCATCACTTTGAAGACACCTGCATTACCTGAACTGAAATATGAGGAGTTCCTCTCCTGCCTGTTTGTGTCTTCAATATGGTTTATGTACTATTAGCGGCTGGAAGTGCGCCAAGTGTGAAATGAGAGAGAACCTGTGGCTAAACCTGACGGATGGCTCTGTCCTCTGTGGGAAGTGGTTCTTTGATGGGAGCGGAGGGAACGGACATGCCCTTGAGCACTACAAAGAAACCAACTTCCCCCTGGCAGTTAAACTCGACACAATCACCCCAGATGGAGCAGGTAAGTGTCTCTCGATGACAGGTTTTCATGCGTCACAGACTTTCAGGGAATATGTTGGCACACATGTATAACACAAACAGAAAATTTCAAGCTCAAGCATAATTTAGACAAAAAAATGATTATAGAAGTTTTTACGGATGCTTCTCTTTTGCAGATGTTTATTCTTTTGATGAAGAAGAAGCAGTGCTTGATCCTCACATATCAGAACATTTGTTACACTTTGGAATAGATATGCTGCAAATGCAAAGGGTAAGTATGTTTTCCCCACAATTTATTAAAAAAGTTCTCCACCTATTACAAATTTTTCCAAATTTTTAAAATAAAAGTATATCTTCTTAATACTTGACTATGCAGATTATACAATATAATAATAATAACAACAATAATATTAATAATAGTACATTTCTTACTAAATATCTGTGTTACAGATTATATTTTTATAAATTTTTTTGGTAACACTTTAGTATAGGGACCAATTCTTATTATTAAATAGTTGCTATTAGCATGCCTATTACTGAATATTTGGGTTGAACTGTTCTGGAACAGTGTTGTAAATACAACTTAACCACTGATTTCTAGACGTGTCCTCTTTTGGAAGGCCAAACAAAGTAGTTTCGCTTTCACAACGAAACACACAGCGTCACACACATGGCGGACTTGAGTGAGCGGCGGCCGGCGGGGTAGAGTGAGGAACGGCCGGTGGGCTTGAGAACGGCGTGGCCGGCTTGCAGCAACCACATGTGACGACCCCGGGCTGGACTCCGCTTTGTCCACAGTGAAAGCCGATCCGGCGATCCACAGCGCAAAGTCGATGTATTTCCTCCGCGACCAGCACGGATCAGCTCTAGGCATGACGAAGCGGATATCATCCTCTTTTGGAAGGCCAAACAAAATAGAAAGAACAGCCTTCCATTCTGTTACGCCTTCTTTCTTTGCGTGAACATTTGGGCGGCGTTATGCAAATCTTCCCACACAGTGACGTAGACATGTGGGGGCATGTTAGAACGAGCCGTTTTAGGTAGGCGTGGTTGACTCTTAATTTTTATAAAGAATATCTCTTTGGATTTGAAACTTTAGTCTTTGCAACTTTACAGATCTTCTTTATGCACCAAGAGCTTGTAACACTCCAAAGAGAAAGGAAAATTTTAAATCGCATCATATGACCTCTTTAACAACTATTTAAGTACTTAAGCAAAAACAAGCAACACTGCCTCCTTCCAATCTCCTCAAATGTCTATGTCCATCCTTCACAGACAGAGAATGGCCATCATACAGACAACCACGTCCAGCCTCGTGTGAGTGACTGGGAAGTTATTCAGGAGGCGGGTCTAAAGCTAAAGCCTGTCTATGGCTCAGGATATACAGGCATCAAAAACCTGGGCAACAGCTGCTACCTGAGCACCACTATGCAAGTGCTTTTCAGTATTCCAGAGTTCCAGAGAGCGTAAGTACCTTGTAGCCTTTAATGGTCCAATACATTCTACATGTTCACGTTTTCCTACCATTGTCTTTACCCAGTCTGTACCCAAAAAAAAAAGCTGGGTTTGAATGCTATCACACTTGTAGAAGTGACATTTCTGGCCATCCAAGATGAGTTTGTTTCTTCATCGCTACTGATTTGAAGAAATTTAGCATTACATTATTTGCTTACCAATGGATCCTGTGCAGTGAATGGGTGCCATCAGTCCAAATGGCTGATAAAAATATTGCAATAATCCACAAGTAATCCACACGACTATAGTCCATCAATTAACATCTTGTGAAGTGAAAGGCTGCATGTTTGTAATAAACATGAATTTTAACTTCAAACCATTGCTTTCAGCTAACATATGAGTCCTCCATAATATTAGATATTATAAAATTGATTTCAGTAATATTACTTTTTCCAGTGAGTAATGCTGTCTAAATTAGGTGAGAAATATGCACAGATAAAGCACCATTTACAGGCAAAAGCAGTCCAAAACAGTTCTAAACAAATATGTCAGTGGATTTTGATGTGAGAGGACAACAGGGGATGGACTTTGTTTGAAGCAAGAGCTATTATGGCTTATGGACTCATATTTTGGCCAAAGGTGATGGTTTAAAGATAAAACGTCTTAATGTTAGATTTATTTTTTTACAAACATGCAGCTTTTCACTTCACAAGATGTAACTTGAATGACTGGAGTCATGTTTTTATCAGCTAGTTGGACTCTCACTCTGATGGCACCCATTCACTGCAGAGGATAAATTGGTGAGCAAATGATGTAATGGTAAATTTCTCCAAACCTGTTCCAATACAGAAACAAACTATTCAACATCTTGGATGGCCTGAGAGTGAGTACATTTTCAAATTTACATTTTAAATTTTGGGAGAACTATTCCTTTAATCTGTGCCTTCTAGCAGTTTGATTGCTTTTTTATGTGTGTGAATGTTAAAGGAGTAGTTCACTTTCAGAATGAAAATTCTGTCACCATTTACTCACCCCCCACTTGTTCCAAACCTGTATGAGTTTCTTTCTTCTGTTGAACACAAAAGAAGATATTTTGAAAAATGTTGGGATCTGAACAGTTGATTAGCACCATTGACTTCCATAGTATTTTGTTTCCTACTATGGAAGTCAACGGTGCTCATAAACATAAACATTTTCAAAATATCTTCTTTTGTGTTCAACAGAAGAAAGAAACTCATACAGGTTTGGAACAAGTGGGGGGTGAGTAAATGATGACAGAATTTTCATTCTGAAAGTGAAGTGACATGTGGCCAAGTATGGTTACCCATACTAGGAATTAGTGCTCTGCATTTAACCCATCCTAAGTGCACACACACAGCAGTGAACACACACACGGAGCAGTGGGCAGCCATTTATGCTGCATCGCCTGGCGAGCAGTTGGGGGTTCAGTGCCTTGCTCAAGGGCACCTCAGTCGTGGTATTGAAGGTGGGAGAAGGTACATTCACTCCCCACCTACAATCCCTGTCGGACCGGAGACTCGAACTCGCAACGTTTGGGTTACGAGTCCAAGTCTCTAACCATTAGGCCACGACTTCCCCTGAACGTGAACTACTCCTTTAATGATTTTATTTCAGTGCCAGATTTAAAGCATCTAGCCAGGGTCTTTACTTACTGAAGTCAATATGCAGGTGCAACAGTAAAAGATTATTGCTTTTCTTTCCAATATTTATGCTGCAGGTACGTTGGGAACCTACAGAGAATATTTGACTACTCACCCCTTGATCCAACTCAGGATTTCAACACACAAATGTAGGTGTTTTTATCATGGAATGTTAATATCATGTTACATTTATCTTCTTTTTGATTTTTGAAATTCAAGTTACATCTAATTCTTGTATAATATATTTGCAATGCAGTATTATACCGGTTGCATGAGTTTGACAGGTACATTGATTGATAATTAATTGAAAGTTTAATATGGCAGCACTCTGTGTCAATTTGACATGGTATCTAAATTGGAATGTTTGTTTTCCTACATTTAAAGGGCGAAACTCGGTCGTGGACTTCTGTCAGGCCAGTACTCAAAACCTCCAATGAAATCAGAACTTATTGAACAGGTGATGAAAGAAGAATACAAGGTATTTGACTTGGTCTGTCTTGTTGATATTTGGCTCGATTAGGTCCACATAACGCTGTTTACACTTACAAGATGCTTGTCAGACCAATACCCATGGTGCCTAGTTAGTTTTTTGAGACTTATTTGAGACAACCTTTAGGTACATTCATATTGACAATTTTTTGCAATAACTGGAGGTCATTCATTGGCAAATTGAGGTGACAACCACAACAAAAATCGTACAACAAAGTTGAGTAGAGTTTAATTTTATGCAAATGAGCAGGAACACAATGTGGTAACTACCAATGGAATCGCAGACATGAATGTACCTTTGGTGTGCTTGTTTGGCTTGTCTGATTGTGAGGAGCCACAATATCAGATATTAACTGATCTATTGTATTCTAAAAGTTATCATTGTTTTTAACATTGTTTTTTGTGTGTGTATTATTATAAATGACTAAAATATAGTCATTTGGAGGTCCACTGAATTTCTACAGAATTGTTCATATGCTTCCAAAATAATATAAATAATTTCTTGTTCAAAGAATGCATGGGCTTAATTTTATGCATTTTTTATGGAACAAAAAATGCTGCTTGCCATTTTCCTAAAGATCAGGTTTGTGGCCTTTTAAGAGTGTTTAAGAATGTCAACTGCAATCCAACTTTCTTAATAGGTTTTCTGATGGCATTTTAAAGTGCATTTGGTGACCCTGGGCCTAGATGTATCATGTTGTTTTCTTCTGTAGCAGCAGCAAAGAGGGATTTCACCTAAGATGTTCAAAGCGCTGGCCAGTAATGGACACCCAGAGTTCTCCTCGAACAGGCAACAAGATGCTCACGAATTCTTGCTGCACTTAATTAACCTGGTAGAGGTATGAATGTGTTTTTCTATCATGTGCTTCTTTTTTGGAAAACACAATATTTCCTTTCATGTCTGAAAGAAATTGTTCCCACAAAAATGAAAATCCTAAATCCTTATCCTCCAACCTATATGACTTTTTTTTCTTTAGCTGAAAGCTGGTTATAAATTACTTTTATTTCATGGAAAAAGATCAGCTTGGCATCAGACAAATTCTTATATGACTCCTTTTGTACATTGTGGTGTGGGTTGATACAGGGTAAATTCTTTGTTTTTATTTTTAGGTAAACTATCCCATTTGCAATCTTCTTTTCTTAAAAAATGATTTCAGAGAATCAAGGGTTTCTAGGGTTTGGCTGGAATTTCCCCAGACGTGTGTTTGTAGACTTTGAGTCTTGTCAGCAGACTCTGGTTTCAGGAGACACATTCGACTGCACTCTCTACCCCTCTGCTGGCAGACAAACACTTCAAGTGACTTTCTCAACTGAGTTAAAATTAGATACCCCTATCGGTTACACAGGGCAGATAATGCTTCCTGTTACCCTCCCCACTTAGTCTATGTCCAGAATGAATGCCGTTGCCTTCCCTGAAACTTTTCCGTGACTTAAAAACAAATAACAGTAGGAGCCGCACTGTTAGACATTTACATTGAGATACACTGTCAACAAGAAATAGAATTCACAGCCCATTTTATTACTACTTTTCTTCTACAATGTGGCATACATTTGAATTGACTGGATCGTGAAAAATGGCTTCTACATGACAGGTGGCTGGAGGGAGGGTTTGGAAAATATAAGTGCTTGGTGACGTCAGCTGAAAAGGAAAATCAATTCAGAAGGTTAGCGGGTTATTAAGGAGCATTCACACTGATAGTAATTAGCTTTTTGTATTAGAATTGCCAGTTTCCTGTGACATAAGCAACATTGATCATTGGTGAGGTGACAAAGTTGAGCAGAATTCAACTTTATGTAAATAATATTCAAATGTTTTTAAAAGAAATCTCTTTATATATTGTCTCTTTTTATATTGTTAAATGTTACTACAATTTAAAATAACTGTTTTCTTATATTTTAAAATGTAATTCATTTTTGTGATGGAAAGCTGAATTTTCAGCAGTCTTCAGTGTCACATGATCCTTCAGAAATCGTTCTAATATGCTGATTTGGTTCTCAAGAAACATTTCTTATTATTATCAATGTTGAAAACAGTTGAGCTGCTTGATATTTTTGTGGAAACTGTGATTTAGTTTTTTCAAGATTATGTGATAAATAGAAAGTAAAAAAAAAAAATTTTTTATTTGAAATGCATATCTTCCATTATAATTGTCTTTACTGTAACTTTTGATCAATTGAATGCATCCCTGCTGAATAGTATTAGTTTCTTAAAAAAATCTTACTGACACCAAATGTTTGAATGAGTAAGTAGTGATGTGATGTAGAAGCTACGAATGGGAGTGCAAGCAATGATCGTCCACCTAATATAGTTAGATACAGAGGTCGAGTAGGAACGCCTACTAGAGACTCAGTGGACATTTTTTATATTTAAACTAACATTCACAGATGAATTGTTCACAATACAACAAATCATTCTCAATAGACATAACAATAAGAGATCTGTTCACAATATAGATAGAAGCATTCACAATAGAGATAAAAAGGGTCCGTTTAGATTTCATGTAAAGTTTTTCAAATCTAGATATATTTATATAGCTGTTTGGTTTTGAAGTGATGAACTGATCAAGACCTAATCGTTGCTGACATTTGCTTGTTCCTGACAGTGCACATAAACCAAGTGGGATCAGCTTCATAAAACCAAGACAGAGCTATCTCTTGAAATGTTTAGTACTCAGAAATGTTGACTGGTTTATTTGTAGCTGCCCTCAGCTGTGCCTTGTGTGAAATAGCATAAGGCCTGTGAACAGTGAGGGGTTCTACATCCTCAGCAAGTTTGTTCTCTGCTCAGTGGTCAAGTGGAAGACTTGATAGAGGAGGGCTGGTATATTTCCGTATGGCCTCAGAATAGCGGAACTGCCGTAGGATGACCTCGTTGATCTTAATTATGGACTAATTCTGAGCTCTCCCTAAAGATGCCTAAATTTAAATCGAAAGTTGATTTGTTTACAATTTGTTTTGTAGAACTATGAATTATGCGACCGCTATTGTGTTTTATGTCATGATTTTGGATGTTAGAGGGATAGTCCACCCAAAAATTAAAATCCTGTCATTTTTTTTCTCACCCGTGTGGCCTTCAAAACCTGTATGACCTTTATTGTTCTATGGAACATTAAATATATATTGAAGGATGTTGGTAAACAAACAGTTTCAGTTTCCAATGACTTCCATTATATAAACAAAAAAATACAATGGGAAGTCATTGGGAACCAAAACTGTTTAGTTACCAGCATTCTTCAAAATATCTTTTTTTTAGTGGTCTACTGAAGATCAAAATGCATACAGGTTTGGACTGAAACAAAGGTGAATCAATAATGACATGATTTTCATTTTTGGGTGGACTATCCCTTTAATGTATTCAGTGCTGTCTGTCTTTGAAGGTTCTTAGTGCTGCAACAAAACATTTTATAGGCTTTTCCCAGAAAAGTAGATAGGAAAGTTAAGGAGAAAAGGCAAATGGGAACGGGTCAGATTCAAACCTGTTTTTCCATGAGCAAAACAGCTCTTATAATGTACAGTGCTACCCACTGTGCCATGGCTTCAACAGAAGAGAACTTTCTGTAGGTGATATTGTGTTTTGCCATTTCCAGAGGAACAGTTCAGGCTCAGAGAACCCCAGCGATGTGTTCCGCTTCTTAGTTGAGGAGCGCGTGCAGTGCTGTCAGACACAGAACGTGCGCTACTCACAGCGAGTGGACTACTTTATGCAGCTTCCTGTACCCTTGGAGGCTGCCAGCAACAGAGGTAATGCCTTCTACAACTGAGTTAAACATTGCTCCTGCACTACAACATTTTATTTTAGGTCTTTTCAATGCATCTAATGTGCTGGTTGACCTAATGGTGTTTTAATTGCTTATGGTTTTGTCGTTTGTACAGAGGAGTTAATAGCATATGAGAGTAAGCGGAAGGAAGCTGAGGAGAACATGCGGCCCCCTCCAGAGCCGGTGAGAGCCCGAATCCCCTTCACTGCCTGTCTGCAAGCCTTCACTGAGCCTGAGAATGTTCCAGACTTCTGGAGCTCTGCACTGCAAGCCAAGTCGGCCGGCGTGAAGTAAGCAAGGTTCTGGTTTGAGACCTTCGAAGGACTTGAAACACATTCTCCAAAATTTAGAAGAATATCATGGCGTTTACATCTACAATAAAAAAAATTGGCATTTAATTATAAAATATCTTTATGAAATATCTTTTTGTTATTTTTACAATATTTTTGTTAATATATATTTGAACACACTGCTGTTCAAAAGTTTGGGAACTGTAAGATTTTTTATGTTTTTTTAAAGAAGTTTCTTATGCTCATCAAGGCTATATTTATTTGATCAAAAATACAGAATAAATGGTCACACTTTATTTTAAGGTGTAATTCTCACTATTAACAAACCATTAACTACAACTTTTGCCTCAATAAACTCTTTTTGCTGCGTATTAGTAGTTAGTAAGGTAGTTGTTAAGTTTAGGTATTGGGTAGGATTAGGGATGTAGAATATAGTCATGCACAATATGTGTTTTATAAATGCTAATAAACAGCCAATATGTTAATATTAGGCATGCTAATAAGCAACTAGTTAATAATAAGAATTGGTCCCTATACTAAAGTGTTACCAAAAAAACAGTAATATTGTGAAATATTAATGCCATTAAAAAAAATTTACTTTACGTTTTGTAATGTACTTTAAAATATTATATATTCCTGACGCAAAGCTGAATTTTTTATCAGCCATTACTCTAGTCTTCAGTGTCACATGATCCTTCAGAAGTCATTTTAATATGCTGATTTATTAACAATGTAGGAACTTTTGAATGGCAGTGTATATATATATATATATATATTAGTGCTGATATATAAACAAAAAAATACAATGGGAAGTCATTGGGAACCAAAACTGTTTAGTTACCAGCATTCTTCAAAATATCTTTTTTTTAGTGGTCTACTGAAGATCAAAATGCATACAGGTTTGGACTGAAACAAAGGTGAATCAATAATGACATGATTTTCATTTTTGGGTGGACTATCCCTTTAATGTATTCAGTGCTGTCTGTCTTTGAAGGTTCTTAGTGCTGCAACAAAACATTTTATAGGCTTTTCCCAGAAAAGTAGATAGGAAAGTTAAGGAGAAAAGGCAAATGGGAACGGGTCAGATTCAAACCTGTTTTTCCATGAGCAAAACAGCTCTTATAATGTACAGTGCTACCCACTGTGCCATGGCTTCAACAGAAGAGAACTTTCTGTAGGTGATATTGTGTTTTGCCATTTCCAGAGGAACAGTTCAGGCTCAGAGAACCCCAGCGATGTGTTCCGCTTCTTAGTTGAGGAGCGCGTGCAGTGCTGTCAGACACAGAACGTGCGCTACTCACAGCGAGTGGACTACTTTATGCAGCTTCCTGTACCCTTGGAGGCTGCCAGCAACAGAGGTAATGCCTTCTACAACTGAGTTAAACATTGCTCCTGCACTACAACATTTTATTTTAGGTCTTTTCAATGCATCTAATGTGCTGGTTGACCTAATGGTGTTTTAATTGCTTATGGTTTTGTCGTTTGTACAGAGGAGTTAATAGCATATGAGAGTAAGCGGAAGGAAGCTGAGGAGAACATGCGGCCCCCTCCAGAGCCGGTGAGAGCCCGAATCCCCTTCACTGCCTGTCTGCAAGCCTTCACTGAGCCTGAGAATGTTCCAGACTTCTGGAGCTCTGCACTGCAAGCCAAGTCGGCCGGCGTGAAGTAAGCAAGGTTCTGGTTTGAGACCTTCGAAGGACTTGAAACACATTCTCCAAAATTTAGAAGAATATCATGGCGTTTACATCTACAATAAAAAAAATTGGCATTTAATTATAAAATATCTTTATGAAATATCTTTTTGTTATTTTTACAATATTTTTGTTAATATATATTTGAACACACTGCTGTTCAAAAGTTTGGGAACTGTAAGATTTTTTATGTTTTTTTAAAGAAGTTTCTTATGCTCATCAAGGCTATATTTATTTGATCAAAAATACAGAATAAATGGTCACACTTTATTTTAAGGTGTAATTCTCACTATTAACAAACCATTAACTACAACTTTTGCCTCAATAAACTCTTTTTGCTGCGTATTAGTAGTTAGTAAGGTAGTTGTTAAGTTTAGGTATTGGGTAGGATTAGGGATGTAGAATATAGTCATGCACAATATGTGTTTTATAAATGCTAATAAACAGCCAATATGTTAATATTAGGCATGCTAATAAGCAACTAGTTAATAATAAGAATTGGTCCCTATACTAAAGTGTTACCAAAAAAACAGTAATATTGTGAAATATTAATGCCATTAAAAAAAATTTACTTTACGTTTTGTAATGTACTTTAAAATATTATATATTCCTGACGCAAAGCTGAATTTTTTATCAGCCATTACTCTAGTCTTCAGTGTCACATGATCCTTCAGAAGTCATTTTAATATGCTGATTTATTAACAATGTAGGAACTTTTGAATGGCAGTGTATATATATATATATATATATTAGTGCTGATATATATATTAGTGCTGTTTAGTGCTGTCAAATGATTAATCGCGATTAATCACATCCAAAATAAAAGTTTTTGTTTACATAATATATGTGTGTATACTGTGTATATTTATTATGTATTTATAAATACAAACACATGCATGTATATATTTAAGAAAAATATGTTATGTGTATGTATTAAATATATTTATATTTATATAAAATATAAGAATATAAATGTATATACATACATGTAAATATTTTCAAAATATATACTGTATGTGTGTGTATTTATATATACATAATAAATATACACAGTACACATACATATATTATGTAAACAAAAACTTTCGCAATGAATCATTTGACAGCACTAATACATATATATATATATATATATATATATATATATATATATATATATATACAGTATATACCCTGCAAAAATGGGGTAAGCAAAATAATCTTTTCTGTTTGAAATAAGATTATTTTGCTTACCCCATTGGCAGATTATTTTGCTTGTTCTAAGCAAAAACTAAATTAATTTTGACACGTTTTTTTCTGAAAACAAGACAGTAATTTTTACCTGTCTAGAAAATCCTTCTTGATTTAAGAATGTTTAGATATTTTGGCTGAAAACAAGACTTCTAAGTAAGTAGTAAATCTAAGTAAGAAAAGCATTTTTTGCAGTGTGTGTGTGTGTGTGTATATATATACACCCCCTGTAAATCCCAATATATGTATAAATGCAGGCTCTAAGAGATTATATCTTTCTCTCTCCTCAGGACTTCTCGTTTCGCATCCTTCCCAGAGTACATGGTTGTGCAAATAAAGAAGTTCACATTTGGGCTTGATTGGGTGCCCAAAAAGTTAGGTGTGTAATTTTAAGTGCTTTTAGTTTGACGTTGTATATTTGATTTCAAATTGTTGTAAATAAATTAACACATTGTTGACAAAAGCATGCAATGCATGTAAAAAATGTTGGATTATCCTATTTTTCCTATTGAAAGGATTTTTGATTCTCTGTACCTCCTGCTCCCGTCAAAGCAGATTTATTGATATGTCATGTTCTTGTTTGTCATCTGTAGCTGCCTATCACATGCTCTCTTGTGCAATTCTGACCATCACATGTCATGCATGTTGAGCAATGCATCAAGATTGCTTGCCTCAAAAGACTATCAGTTTGCAAGGTGTTGTGTTTGCTCAGCACACTAGAGCTTTTCCCTTGTCCAGCAGAGGGTACTCTAGCACTGTGTTTTTACATGAGACATTTTTGGAACCTGTGGTCAGCAAAATGTTGGCAAGGTTTTTGGAAACAAATAATGCCCAGAATCTGTTCCGAGAGTCTCTTCTGAATGTATCAATGAACAGTAAATTTTTTTTATAATATATAAAATTGCCTTCAAAATCTTTTTTTTTTATGTGCTACAGATGTTTCTGTAGATGTACCTGATTTCCTGGACTTGAATCGCCTCCGGGCCACAGGGCTACAGGCTGGAGAAGAGGAGCTGCCTGACCTTACACCTCCTATTGTCATTCCTGAAGACACCAGAGGTGAGAACCTTTAGACTACCTTTCAAAAGTTTGAGTCAATAAGATTTTTATTTTTTTTTGATAGAAATTAATTTATTCAGGAAGAATTAATAAAATGGATCAATGGATTCAAATAAATTCTTTCTATTCATCACTCTTCAGAATCCTGAAAAAGTGTATCATGGTTTCTATAAAAATAAGCAGCACAACTATTTTCAACGTTGATAATACCAAAAAATGTTTCTTGAGCTCCAAGCGGCATATTAGAATGCTTTCTGAAGGATCATGTGACACTGAAGACTTAAAAGATTTGCCATAACAAGAATAAATTACATCTTAAGTATATTACAACTGAAAACAATTATTTGAAATTTTTATCATATTTCACATTATAACTGTTTTTACTCTTTTACTAGTTTCTAATTTTGATAAAATAAATGCAGTCTTGGTGAACATAAGAAAAGTCTTTAAAAAAACAACAAAATCTTATAATCAGTGTTGTATGTTCCCTTTCGTGGAACTTTATAGTAATGTCCCTTGGCAGCCTAGGCTTCTGGCCGTAGGGAGTAATGTCACTGACAGCCGTCTAAGTCCAGGACAGGGGCAACTCCCATAGCGGTATGGTGTAGTTGGAACTTAGTTGCTCGCTATGGTTCTGGCTTGCACTCCCCTCAGCATGGCGGCGTGGGTATACCGTTCCCCATAACGACCCCTAGAGGACGCAGTTCGAAGTTCCACGAAAAGGAACGTCTCCTGTTACTTATGTAACCATGGTTCCCTGAGGGGAACGAGACACTGCGTCCTCTAGTTTTTGTGCCATGCTGCGGACACAAGCTTCAGACAAAGAAGTTACCACAATATTTATTAAGGTGATTCTCAGCTGATATGCTTTAGGCCTCATGGGAAATCAAATGGCAAATCAACACAGTATCACAACTGTTTATAAAACAAAAGTCCTTAAATTCAAATATTGAATATGAAAAAAAAAATTATATTACTATATGAAGTGTATAGTCCCAACAGTATTCAAAATTGGCATGGTTTGGTGAGATTCACATGCTGCGATTCTCTGATTGGATTGGAATTTTATTTACAGCATCATGGGTAATTTAATTTTTCACCACGATTTCTGCTGTTAAAGGGGTCATATGACATTGCTAAAAAGAACATTATTTTGTGTATACGAGACACTGCGTCCTCTAGCTTTTGTGCCATGCTGCGGACACAAGCTTCAGACAAAGAAGTTACCCTACCGGAGCCTATTTTGTACTAGTTGCGACGGTAGTGACGTCATGGCTGTCGCCGGCCAAACAAGTTGGTGTTTTTTCAATGTAGGCTTCAGACACGGGTCACGACGAGGCGTTCCCCATAGCGACCCCTAGAGGACACAGTGTCTCATTCCCCTCAGGGAACCATGGTTACATAAGTAACCCGAGACGTTTTTTGCCATTGTTTAAAATTGTTGAAATATTATGTAGTGAAATATAATGAAAACAGCCAGCTTGAAATTGTAAACTGCCCATTTTATTGTAAAATTGCCCATCAAATTGTAAAACGCCTTGCTTTGTACTGACTAAGTCTTATTTTTGTATTCAGACAGTACAACAAACAACTCTTTGGAATGTAAGTACCACTTAGATTGCAAATGTGCACAATTACAAAATGCATGCACTACAAAATTACTTATTCGATGAACAGTATTAGAAGTCTTGTAAAATGGTCAGTTCTTTTTCTTGAAGATTTTAAATGCTCTGTGTATTTATTGTTAGTTAAGGGCTGCTGATGTTGATTTGAAGCCACTATTCTCTTTACCTGTTCCTCAGCTCCAGAAATAGATGAATCATCCGTGATGCAGCTGGCAGAGATGGGTTTCCCTCTGGAAGCCTGTCGGAAGGCAGTGTATTACACTGGGAATATGGGGGCAGAGATGGCCTTTAACTGGATAATAGCACACATGGAAGAGCCAGGTAGGGCCTCGTATCTTGACTGAACTGACACGTTTTGAACAAAGGCATATCCCCTGTGTCCTTCCCTTATTTTATATAAAAGCATTACTTAAAATAGTAATAGTAGTAATGGTTATGTTATATGTAATATTTAAAAATATATTATGTGAAACTATAAAATGTTCCATATACAAGTAGCAAATTATATACATTTGTTATGGCCTAAAACGTGCAGCTAAGATGGTATTAAACATCTTATTTGTTCTAATGGCTCTGGTCACATAGTCTAGTAATCAATGGGAAGACACTCAAGTGTCTGCCATTTTAGCTCCACTGGCTAAAAGGTTGTAGCCATTTTGTTTGAAGTGAAGTGCGAGGGAAAGTTTAATTGAGCAGAAGACTCTGTCACCTAATTACATGCTTCCTCGAAAGGAACACTTTCATTGTAGACATTTTAGACTTTTAACTCAGATGAACTTACTGTCATTTGCATATTAGCCATCCAATTGGCATTATTTCAAAAACTCAAGCACGGTTTCACAACAATATTTATTAAGGTGATTCTCAGCTGATATGCTTTAGGCCTCATGGGAAATCAAATGGCAAATCAACACAGTATCACAACTGTTTATAAAACAAAAGTCCTTAAATTCAAATATTGAATATGAAAAAAAAAATTATATTACTATATGAAGTGTATAGTCCCAACAGTATTCAAAATTGGCATGGTTTGGTGAGATTCACATGCTGCGATTCTCTGATTGGATTGGAATTTTATTTACAGCATCATGGGTAATTTAATTTTTCACCACGATTTCTGCTGTTAAAGGGGTCATATGACATTGCTAAAAAGAACATTATTTTGTGTATTTGGTGTAATGCAATGTGTTTATGTGGTTTAAGGTTTAAAAAACACATTATTTTCCACATACTGTACATTAGTTTTGCACCTCTATGCCCCGCCTTTACAAAGCTCATCGGTCTGAAAAGCAAGGTGTACGCTGATTGGCCAGCTATCCAGTGCGTTGTGATTGGCTGAATACCTCAAGCGTGTGATTGAAATGTTACGCCCCTTACCATACTGTGATGCAGTGTCCCGGCCGGAGCGAAGAGACAAAAACATTAAAACCCATTATGAACGAGGCATTTGTTGCATCCAGTGGGGACATAATTACTGATTATAATGACTTATACTGTCTCTTTACGCGTTGCATTGCGTATCGCGCTGCGTAAACATAAAACCATGACTGCATTTGTGATCAGAGAAACGACAAACAACAAGCGCTACTCTACACATCATCAGTGGCAAATTCTTTAAATATGAAAACATACTTACAGGCTGTGAGTCAGAACAGCCGGCATTGTAGGCTACTCTCCCAGGATCAGGAAACAGTCCACCGTAAAATGTGCTGCACACATCTGAATATTTAGGTTGAAGTGTTCTGGAACAGTGTTGTAAATACAACTTAACCACTGATTTCTAGTTGTGTCCTCTTTCGGAAGGCCAAACAAAGTAGTTTCGCTTTCACAACGAAACACACAGCATCTTCACGACATGGTGGCGGCCGCGGCAACAATACTACAGCAAGAATCAAAGCTTCTTTCTTTGCGTGAACATTTGGGCGGTGTTATGCAAATCTTCCCACACATTGACGTAGACTTGTAGGGGCGTGTTTCAATGAGGCGTTTTAGGATGGTGCAGCGGGTGCAATGATATTACGCAGTGCCTGAAAATAGGCTAACTTCCGTCAACATAACCAATGTGATCACCTGCTTGCACAGGGAGTGTGCTGGGGACTATTTTCAGGCACTGCGTAACATCATTGCGCCTGCTGCACCCATAGTACGTCAGCAAAGTTCCTTGATTATTACGCCGGAATGAGAGTATAGTTCCTAGACATATCGGCCTAGAAAATTGCAACTTTTAATTTTCCGTCAGTCTTAGTACACGATGTAACTACAGAAGAGTCAAATTTTAAATAGGAAAAATATAAAAAACTCTTTAGTCATTTTTGAGCAAGATGCTAACGGTCTAATCAGACTCAGTGATCTATGCTAAGCTGCAGCTAAAAGTGCTACCGCCAGACCCGGAGATCGGCTGAATGGATTCGAAAACGGTAAAACTCAACTGTTTAACTCTAGGCGAGTTGGAAAATGAGCGTGGAGTGTTCCTTTAAAGCAAACAGATATTTTAACTGTCATTTATGCAGAGGCGGACAAAGTACTCAACTCCATTACTTGAGTGAAAGTACAGATACTGCTGGTCAAATATTACTCCATTACAAGTAAAAGTTGTAAAGACAGATTTTTACTTAAGTAAAAGTACAGAAGTACTTGCTTTTAAAAGTACTTGAGTACCAAAAATAAATTTCCTTTTTTTATGTCAATGCACTGTTTTATTGTTGTACGTAATACTTGCAATACTTCTGAAGCAACTTACAGTACATTACACCTACTGAATACACTGACTAGCTTGTAGTATCTTTGGAATAAAGAGCTTTTAGAATGTTAAAAACCTATGGGGGAAAAAATTAACACCCCTACCCACCCCCACAAAAGCAGGATGGTAGTGATCTCACAGCTCTGGACACATCTATGTGAACAGAGTGGACAGTGAAATTGCTGTAAATACAGACTGATAAGAAAGAAAAAAAAATCAAACATGCTTTAAAACCCAGCAACACAACTGTAGCTGTACAACAGCTACACTGCTTTAACAAAAAATCAAAACAGCAAGACTTATTTGACATCAAAACAAACATTTTAAATGCTGTCTAATCGCTCTTGCGGTACTTTGATGTCACACACAGAACTTTCAAAGCTGCTTACGACTTTCTACTTCGAGGATCTTGATAGAAATGTAGTGGAGTGAAAAGTACAATATTTGTCTTTCAAATGTAGTGAAGTTAAATTCATAAGTTCCCAGAAAAAATAATACTCAAGTAAAGTACAGATACTCAAAAAGTGTACTTAAGTACAATACTCAAGTAAATGTACTTAGTTACTGTCTGCCTCTGCGTTTATGTTGCATTCAAGATAAATAAGCCACAGAAATCGGGTGTGCTTCGTGAGGCTCATTATCTGGGTTTCAGCCACAGGGGAATATTTTATGTTTGGAGCATGTCACTTAGCTAGGCTATAAGGTAAATGCATGTGACGTAAAGAGTTGTGTATTTTCAGTGATGGGGAAAGATTCATGCCAAAGTAATTAATCCAAATGCAATTTAGATCTAAGGTGCTCTATATTATTAGACTCAGAATGTTCTAGTTGAGTAGATTCAAGTCTACACAAGGTGGTATTTCAAGTCTCTTGCTAGTCACCATTGTTTATCATTGTGCTTCTGGCTAGTAAACACCGTCCTCACACTTGAGCATCACCTGTGAGCTGGGAATTCTGTTCTCCTCACTTTCCTGCCCCAGTTAAGCATCCACCTGAGATCACGAACAGAATCAGACATACACACATGCAGAGTCTTAAGCGCTCCAAACCCCATTAGCTTTGCATCTCCTAGACTCGTGTGGCTTACGTCTGCTCCACAGCTACAGCTGGGCCTGTTCCTATATAGATGCTACTGACAGTGGTTATTAATATAGTGTGCAATATACAGAGATTTTTTTAGTCTTACCTTAATTATTTAGTACTGTGTACTGTGAGATGATATATGGCTAGTCTAAGGAAAGCAGAAATCTTAACTTTTTATATTAAAAAGTTAAAATAGTTTGATCTGCTCTGCCTTATATAATTTCAGTTTTTTTAAATTAATAAACAGACAATTCATATTTATTTATTTGTTTGGTCATTTATTTATTGCAACAATGTAAAAATCGTTACTGTCACTTTTAATCAATTTAATGCATGGTTGCCGAATAAAAAAAAAAAATTGCAAATTGAAAAAGGAATTAGTCAAGGCAAAAATGGGTAATAGATATTAAAAAAGAAACTTGAGAGATACATTTCTCTTTGATTAGATATTTACACAACACAATAACTTTTAATTTGAAAATGTATTCATAATGTTTATATATATATATATATATATATATATATATTATACATATTATGTATTTTTATTAGTTTATATCAATAATACATATTTCAATACAGTCTCAGGACTGCACATCTGTACATAACTTCTCAACACTGTTCATCTTTAAATAGCACATTTGCACAGTCAAATTCTGCCTATATATTTTATTGCTACATTGTTTATTATTTAATTTTTTTTGTCTATTCTCTTTATTATTACTGTATTATTAGTTAGATTTTTTTCATTATATTTATGTCTATTATATGTATGTCTGCACTATGTCTACTTTCTGTACTGGAAGCTCCTGTCACCAAGTCAGGACAAATTCCTTGTGTGTGTAAAGACACTTGGCAGTAAAGCTCTTTCTGATTCTGATATTTAATTTAATATTTAATTATTAATTACATTTCTATTTAATTTGTATACTTATTTCATATATAGTAGTAGGGTGACCATACGGGCCATTTTTACGGGACACGTAAAATCCTTGCCAGGATTTCTATATTGCCTAAAATATCCAGGTTTTGGCTGTTTGCACTGTGCAGATTTATCATTGTATGACATTCGGGAGAGCATGGCAGACGGCTCCTTATGCTTTCGAATCCCTCTTGCTGTACTTTGGTGTCATACAATGATTGGTCTGCGCAGCGACACTTCAAGTCGAACGAATGAACAAACAAACACACCTAACGTGCTCGTATTTGCATCGCTTTGATCATTCTCTGTCCCATATAAATGGCACGTATGGCCATCCTATATAGTAGCCATTTTTTAAGGTAAGGAACCTATTTTGTGATTATATATCAAGTCATATATCATGTTGTTAGGCATGGTGCACAGGATGGCCTTCAATACTTAATTGGAATGTTTGTTCGTTTAGGACTGAGGCTGGTCAGTTTGTAGTTGCTAACGGTCAAACATGGTGGTGTCATACAGTGTGTGTGTGTGTGTGTGTGTGTGACACAGCATTTGATCTTGAACATTAAAGGATTAGTTGCAGACTACAGGGAATGGATTACATGGCTCGTGTTCATTTGAATTTCCAGTTTATCTGTGTAATCTCAATAGAGCAGTGAGTGTGATATTTTCATCCTCTGCACATTTGGTGAATAAATCTACACATGTAATAATGCTATATATGTGTGACAGACAACTTAACTCTTCCGTCTCTTCTGAAACCAACTGTAGATTTTGCCGAGCCTCTGGCAGTTCCCACTTACATGGAACCAGACCTGCCCAGCCCCAGCCTCCCTTCTACCAGTGCACTGGACAACCAGCCTCCAGAAGAGAGCATCTCCATCCTCACCTCCATGGGCTTCCCAAGACATCACACAATCCAGGCTCTCAAAGCCACAGTGAGTGTGCTGCCTCATCTGCTTCATGTACAGTGGCCCGAAAAGAATTTGGACGCCTAAAAATATATGAATGTCATACACCTGTGATTACACTTCTAGGACACCTGCATGAACTTCAGTGGATCTGGCTCCATACATCCACTAAAAATTACCTTGAGACTAGTTGCACTAAAAGTTCAAATGTTATTTGTTTGCGGATGGCACTTTTTTCATGCATTTCATACAGTGTCCAAAAGTGTCTGGGTACTTTTTAGGGCCACTGTATGTAGGATATTCATGTTTTGAACTGTTACTTGCTGCAAATTGTTTGATTTCATTCTTAGGCAGGAGTACACAGTCATGGCCAAACAAGGGCTCATGGTAGCGTTCACCTTTTCTTCTCCGAACAATCGATTTTCTAGATGTCCCAAACAGTCGTAAGGTAGCTTCATCAGAGAAAGTAACTTTGCACCAGTCTTCTGCTGTACAATCCTTGTACTTCCAGCAGAATTTCAGTCTGTCCTTTACGTTTTTCTTGGAGAGATGTGGCTTCTTTGTTGCTCTTCTTGACACCAGGCCGTTGTCCAAAAGTCTTGACCTCACTGCGCGTGCAGATGCACTCACACCAACCTGCTGCCATTCCTAAGCAAGCTCTGCACCGCTGGTGACACGATTCCGTAGCTGACTCCTCAGGAGGAGATGATCCTGGCACTTGCTGGGCACTCTGGGACGTCCTAAAGACTGCTTCACTGCAGTCGAACCTCTCTCCTTGAAGCTTTTGATGATCCGGTAAATGGTTAGCAATTTCCTTGCATGTGAGGCCATTTTGATGCACCACAATGATGGCTGCACGTGTTTCTTTGGAGGTAACCATTGCTAACAAGAACACAATGATTGGAAGCGCTTCTTCCCTCCCATTTATAGCAATCAGTCTGCTCTTACAATCTAATTAGTATGACGGTGATTAACCTGACTAGTACTCATTCACACGTTCACATGTGCTGCTGATATGATTAGTCAATTAATGTTAGCTGGTCATTTTGTGTCAGGATCAAAAAACAGTGAATTTTTTTTTTTGTGAAAAGTAAATTTTTTGGCCAATGAAGCTTTTAGCAATTATTTAAAATGCATCTCATCACTCTACACAATAATCTAGAAACAATGTGAATGAACACCACAACAGCTTAAGCAGCAAACTTTGCAAAACACAAAATGTATGTCACTGCCAAAACTTTTGGCCATGACTGTAGAGTAATAGCTGCTGAAAATTTAGCATTGCCATCACAGGAATAAATTACATTTTAAAATATAGCCTATTAAAAGTTATTTTTAAATATTACTCAAATAAATGCAACAAGTGAACACAAGACTTCTTTCATACAAAACATCTTAAAAAGTGCATTATTGTACTTGAGCTGCTCCATAATTTCCTCTTTAATATTTTGAATTTTTAGTTTTCAGTAACTCCTATATTTAGTGTAACCTCTCAGATCTTCTTGTCAAATATTTAAACATTATTCCTTCATAGTAGGACCTGCTTCTTCTTGGATATTTCTTTTTGTGTTTTAGACATTGTGATTGTGTTTTTCAAGTCTGTGATATGTGTGTATGTGTGTGTAAAAATAGCCTCTCAAGCAGCCAATAATAGCGCAGTAACAAGTGGACGTCTTTAACCTATGTCGTTCACATTTGTCCAGAAAAGGATGAGGGCGTCAGGACTTATTTGCTTTCAGTGCTGGCATTTGTAGTGAATCACGGTGCTATTTCAGATTAGTGCCTATGCCTAAATGAGTCTTTTGACCATGCTAGAATGACCTCAGTTAAATCAAGGACTTTCGACTTGTCCGAGCAATTTAAAAATGGCTCTTTGCCTGAGGATATAATTTTGGTGTTCTGTGTTTTCTTGTGAAATTAAAGCTTGCCATGTTTTTGTCCAGTTAGGTTGTTAGTTACCTACACATTATTGGTCTGTGAATTTAGCTGTTCTCAAGTGATGAGAGTATTTTGTTACAATGAATAAACAATGAGTTACAATACCATGAGGTCACATTTTGTCTGTATTCTACTTCTTGTCTGACTACAGAACAACAACTTGGAGCGAGCGCTTGACTGGATATTCACACACCCAGACTGTGAGGACGAGAGTGAAGCTATGTCAGACACGGCAGACACAGAGCCGAACGATAACAGCTTCTCAAACGCCAATGCCCACAGCGACTCCTCGCTGTCTCCAGATCAGGACCTGTCCAGCCCCCGTGTCAGAGACGGACCCGGGCGTAAGTGCTTACCGAATACTGAGTTCAACAAACAGTGGTCAACACATACTGAGGATTACACTGTCTGCATACATTGCTGGTTTGATATTTCATTGCTGATGTTGTTTTTCTTTTTC